CCACAAGAATATTCTTCGCTAACTGTCGCAAAACTCAGTGGTGCAAGAATTTTTTTTCTCTAATTTAATCCTCTTGCAAAATGAAGCAATGAGTTGATTGATAAGCCAATTCCTTTGGTGGCTTTAACCCCTGGACCAAAATCCGACACCAGGCAAAAGGGTTCTTGCCAAAAGCACCATAAACTAGCGAATATGATTGTTGCTGCTTCTTCCAGTGAAGGATATATCACATATGCAATAATCGGGCAATAACTGAAGATACTTCCAGGCTTCTCCTCGACAATACAAAAAACTATATAACACTATAGCGACTCAAGGTTCATACCAAGTCGAAAGTTTGAAATTTTTTTTACAAACTCTAGTTCTTATTTCTTAAAAAGGAGTCTGCTCCATAATCCCCCATTTGATGGGACAAGGCATAAAATTAGTAATAGTAGTGTCAGTCTAATTCATGGTATTTTTCCAGGAAAGCCATAAAATTTATGAGCATCTAGCAACTAGCAGATTTAGAATGGACAAGCTTGAGTAAATGTGACAGTACCTTCTGTAATGATGAAAAATCAATGCCAAAAAATGCCAAATGTTGAGCTAATAATGGATCCTCGACGCTGTCATCCTCCGGATAAGAGAAAACATCTGATTACAACAAATATGTTAAAAACTTATAAGAAACGCATGGAACATCAAAAAGTACTACTGACAAGAATTTCATTTATTTCAGGCAAGCAGAGAAAAAAAATCACAATTATAGTTTTATGATCCTAAAATATTATAGATAGTCAGAATTCTGCAAAAGTAACTAAAAACATCCAAAACATTGAGATTAACATGCAGAAAGATGTAGAAGTGACTTAGAAAGATGCTTGCTGATTTAACTTTTAAGAGAAATGACAGCCCTAACAAATAGCTGAAATGATTAAAATTGGCTTGCATGAAATAGATCAAAATACAAAAATGAAACATATCCAGAGATTTATTAATGTTACCTATACAAAGAAGACAAGTGACAAATGTGTATGTTATATCGTCTCTGACATGGTAAATTCTAGGATTCATGGAAGTGAATTAGCATGTGTGTGTATTCTCTAGTTAGTTCAGCAATGAGTTCTCTTAACACTACTCGTTTACATATCATGACATGTCAAAAGGATGTATGAAAAGTCTTGGATGAGTTAAAAGAAATTCAACACTTGTTAATCCTTCTTTTTCGACTCTTCCCTTAAGGATCCTTTCAAGCTAAGCTTTTCCATCAGCCATGACAGTCATGGGAGACAGGAAAGAGTCCTGTCACTGATGTGGCAACTTTGTAAGAAAGGAGTTCGCAATAACAGTAGATATTAAAAGATGAGAGGAAAAAAGTCACCTGCTCCTTCCAGATCAGCAGTGATTGTCCCTAGCTTTACAGCAAGAGGATATTTAGTCTCTTCATAGTGTCCAATGGCATGATTGTTTCCTCCAGTTCCATCCCAATTCCTCCTCCCGCAAAAGATCATGCCATCAGTTAAATTAAGCCAGAGGTTTTCAGTCTTTTCACATTTGCAGCATTTCCAACCAGATGGTGGAACAATTACACCATTGTCAATCTGTTGCAGATTCATGGCATAAGCGCTGACCTTCTTCTTCTCAGCTGTCCATGCTGCTAGTTGCTCTTTCCGTTCAGCACTCTCAGCCATTAAAATAGCATCAACAGCTAACCTGACCTAAAAATAAAAATAGATAGTAAAAGATGTTCACCAGAAAAGGGTCCCTTCAAGGAATATGCAAGAGATAAAGTATCATATACCTTCTCAGGCAGTTCCACGGACGGAAATGGAAGAGAAATATAGTCAGGTAAAATCACAATACTGTGAGTTTCTTCATACTCAGGTTCTTGACTGTCAAATCCTCCTTCCATACCTGTCAACCACAGCAACTTGGTGATGCTAATACTTCCAAGACAAGATAAAGAGCCAGATTTCTTGTGGATCAAATTATTTTTAGAAAGCACGTATTGAGTGTATAGTATTCATCATCATACAGTAAAATGGCAACTTGGATAATTTCTATTCCAATTATTCATCTACCAGCAAGAACAGAGTTTATCGGCCTATGCTATCGCTGCCAAACTATGGATTGAGTTTAGCAAATTATGTACCATGATGGCATGATCTAGACTGTCAATGTTTTGATTTAAACCAATAGCATCAATTATAAATCTCTCCACTTCATTAAGAAACTCATCAACCCCTTGTATTCATCACTAGCTTAGCAGGTCACCGGCACCACCATCCACATATGGGATCTTGATATAAATATTACGACTATGGACATTGAAAATATAATTTTGCTAAATGTTTTCCCAATGTCATATACTTTCATAAGCTTAGGTACTTTTTTTAATCTTTTCATATAAGTTTCTTTCATGAGGATTTCTCATTAAGCACCCACCAATACTAAGGAAGTAAGTTGAGCTATATTCACTACATAAATATACAAATGCCGTAAGTTATGCAGCTTCCTAACAATAAATTGTATTCTTTCCCCCCTTCTATATCCAAGGGTTAAACATCTTGATTCAAGAAATGATGATACCGATACCAAGACATCGCCGACAAACAAACTGGCAATAAATTCCCCTAAACTAGGGTTCAGTTTCATCGCTACAGTCACAACTATCAATAAAAAAATTGAATCAAGGAACCAAAAGAACAGATTCGACGACTACCGATGGCGAGCAGCGCCGGCTTCTTGAGAGGCCGGTCCTCAGGAATCGGCTTCTTCGTCTGCTGAATGTGAAGATACACAGGATCGCCGGTCTTCTCGTAATTCCAAGCGACGTAATCCTTGCCAAAAGCGAGGAAGGAGCTCATATCGACGAACAGACCCCCTTCCGATCTCTGCAAATAGACGTAAACTAGGGTTAGGGTTAGGGTTTCGGCTTGAGAACCGAGGATGAGATGGAGAGGTACCGGGGTGTCGAAGGAGACGCAGCACTCGTGCTTGTAGATTCGGTTCGTTGGTTCGGGGATTCGAACCCTAGAGAGATGAGAGCGAAGGAGCTCCATTGATGAGAGAGAGAGAGAGAGAGAGAGAATGGAGGACGGATTTAAACGGTTAGGGTTTTGGAATCTTTGAGGGGGGTAGGGTTTACTACTACTATAGCTGAGGAGAAGACACGAAGGGGATTTAAACGGGCTTTGGGTTGGAGTTGGATTGGATCCGACCCGTATATTGGGAAGACGGTAACCGTGGGGAACTAATGGGCCCAAAAAGTAGCAGAAGTTAATGGGTATTGTGGGAAATCTTTGGGGAAAATCAGGTTTATAAAATAGAGGGGGAAAAAAGAAGAAAAAAGAAATATCTATCCAAACGTCTGAAGAACAAATTAATGGTTCCATTATTGATCATGCAAGAAGAGGATGTCGAGATTTCTTGTTAAAAATGGTATAAATGAAGAGAGTTTCTTGTAAATTTGCATCTAAAATACTCCCACCTTCCAAATGTTCTAACTTTTGCGTACTACGCAGGCCTGGAAGCATGAAGAGGTTTGTCGATTCATCGATAAGGGGATTCGAAGCTTGATGAGTTATGCATTGCATCTCAAACTCTAGGTCTTTGCAAGGTATGATCCCTATTTTTGTTTTCCATCACAGGAGATGAGAAGTCAAAGAAACTAATAATTAGATAATTAATATCATATGATCTCTAATAGTGCGTGTATCATCATTCAACTCGTTTTTATTAAAGTTTAGCAGCTCTTAATTGATGGGCAAGAGGGGTAAGCAATTTAATTATTATTTAACTTGTTTATATTAAAGTACTAACACAAATGAGTAGAGGGATGGTAAGTATTAGGAAATGTGTAGATAGGGAGGGCTATCTGCAATTTAACCACCACAAAAAAAAAAACTGTCGAAAAAAAGGAAAAGTTTTCCTTGAAACCCTCACTTTGCTGCATCATATTATGTATTTAATGAAGGATAAAGAATGTCAGAAGTTGAATGTTTCCATAAAAATATTCCTCCATAAGAAAATAACCATAAAGTCACTATGTTAGTAGTTAGTATGATGTCAGACATTTCCCTGAAGTTTTATGTAACTGATAAGTGCATAACTAATAATGTATACATGTCAAATAATTGTGGGGTAAAAAATGGTGGAATTGTGGTAGAGCCTTTGACCAAGTCATAATTTCATTTCGCAAAAGGTTGCCTTGGTCATCAGAAGAAACCTGATATTCAACTACTTATTCAAATGCATACTAGATTTATTTTATGATCCCATTGAACAGCTTCTCTGAAGTCTACACTCTCTCTAATTTTGAAATGGAATGCAGAAAAGTCTGAAGATTATTGTTAATCGGCCAGTTGCACAATTAGTACGCTACTTTAATTCTAAATGTTAAAATAATCTACAAGCCTAAGAAACAATTCAGGAACTTTTACTCAGGGGGGAAGTAATTTTAACCACAGGTAACGCATTGTAACTGAAACATATACATCACTAGATTCTTTTACTTGCGCAATGCATGCGAATGTAAACTACAACTTCTTGCAGCTTACGAGAGATCATCCTTTTATTTATGTTTTGTTTGAAGAGTATTTCTTTTGCAAAATGCATATTCTAAAAATAAGGAGGTATGTTCTTTGTTTTAGTTTTCGTCTTTTCAAAAACTAATAGATTATTTAATGAGTAACAATTACACAGCTAATCTAAGCCACATACTTGTATGCTTCTAAACTTTTTGGCAGGCTTGCATTAAAAGCAATTAAAATGGATACATGTGTCAGGTTACTTTTATCCATGAAGTAAATTTTTTTCAATGTTCAGTGATAAGAATTAAGTTTATCTATTTATTTATTTTTCTTGTGTAACTAAACCAGGTTCTTTGTCAAGGTCTTGACAGAAAACCACACGCGTGCACATGCACATACACACGCAATCTGGATACTGTACTTTCATAAAAGACAAAATGATCAATAAGAAGAAAACCTCTCCATCTTCTTTAAGCTCACGACACCATGAATTCTCTGCTGTTATTCCTCTCTTTCACCTCCCTCTTCCTGCGAACACTATCCACGGACAGCTTAACTCCAACCCAACCCCTCACTGACGGCAGCACCCTCATTTCATCTGGCCAAATCTTCGAACTGGGTTTCTTCAGTCCGCAAGGTTCAGCAAAGCGCTACGTTGGCATCTGGTACCATAATTTCTCCACTGACACAGTCCTCTGGGTAGCAAACCGACAGTCTCCTGTTCTTGACAGATCAGGGTCCCTGAGAATCTCAGCAAGTGGGAATTTGATCCTCGTCAATGGAGAAAATATAACTCTCTGGTCATCTAATGTTACTATCTCTATAAATTCAAAGGAAATGACAGTTCAGTTATTAGACAATGGAAATCTTCAGCTTAATGATTCGTGGAATGTTGTCTGGCAGAGCTTTGATTATCCTACGGACACATATTTGACAGGTGAAAGACCAACTGGCCGAATACCTTAAATACAAATTATACAATGAAACTTACCAAAGCGACTCCCAACAATATGCTTTTATCATGATTTTATTGCTTAATTCGATTATTACCATGTTGTTCTTGCCCACTACCAGGTATGAAGGATGGGCTCGATATGGTAACAAATGTCAACCAACTTTTTACTTCGTGGAAGAGTCCGAACGATCCTGAAAAAGGAAATTACTCTATGGGAATTGATCCTGATAGATCGACACAGATATTTATATGGGAGGGGACAAAGCCTAGGTGGCGATCTGGGCAATGGAATGGGCAGGTGTTTATTGGGGTTCGAGGGATGCTTCCGATGTATATTTATGGATTCAAGCTTAGTAACTTTGAACAGGAAGGGAAGATGTATTTTTATTATTCGGCGTTCAATGCTTCTCATAGATATGTTCTGTCTTGGGATGGGAGTTTGAAGCATTTGATCTGGCAGAGTGATACACAGGTAATTTTGTTATTATCATTAGATTATTAGAACTCGTATATGATTTTATCTAAACTGATGTCCATGGAAAATATTGCTACTTTTCATACCCAATTTTATATAGCTTTTGAATTACATTTATGCACTGTAAAGTATATTACTCACCTGGAAAGCCTGAAGAATTCCTGAAATCGACACGCTTCATACACTTAGACTCAATCAATTTAGTTCACGCTTAATTAGTATCAGTTGATCTTTGGTGAGAAAATTTAAAATATATACTAATAGCTATATATGAGATCTTTTTTCCCTAAAAAAAAAGGTTATATAATATGAATTAGCAATTTAATCTATTATGTACTAACTAAATCTGTAAGCCACTAGAATATCCATGATTCAGTTCTGCAGCTACAATTACAATATGAAGATTGCATTTATCTTTCTCAATTAAAAGAGATAAATTATCTCCAGATAATGTTCGGCACATTCATTTACATAACGGACTACAGACTCAATAGGCATATACAAAAACAATTGCAACTTATACATCTTCTTCGCGTCTTGCAAAATTTAATAAGAAGCCTGTAACATAGTATTGCATTTATCATAAACACGCGCAAATTTTGATATCTTCACAATCACAGGTATGTGTGGAGAAGAATTGGAAAAAGCAGATTTTTGGTCATAAGTCGACTCATGCACAGGCATAAGTCGACTTATGGTAAGTCGACTTATGTTGGTGCATGAGTCGACTTACGTTCTGCTCTGGATTGTTGGTTTTTTGCTCTGCCAAGTCGACTTATCAGGTCTGATAAGTCGACTTATGATCTCTTCTCCAGTTGCTGTTTTTCGCTCTGCCAAGTCGACTTATGCAGACTGATAAGTCGACTTATGACGGGTTTTTTGGAAAGTTCAGGTTCCTATTTGCAGTCTGTTTGGGTTTCTGTTTTGGTATAAATACCAATACGATTTGAGGGTTTTGTGAGGAGAGTTTTGGGGTTTTGGAGCACAGAAAAAGAGAGATCTTTCTGAGCTATTTGTTAGGGTTATTGGTTGAGAGATTGAGAGATTTGTTGGTGAGATTAGTTGGTTCGTTTGAGCGATTTGTAATCTCAATTTGTACTCTCCTTCTCTATTAGTGAAAACCCACCCCCTTCTTGCTCCGTGGACGTAGGCAATTTGCCGAACCACGTAAAACCTTGGTGTTTGTGTTTTGTTTGGTCTTTCTCTCGGCGTTCGTTGGTTTGGTTTCTCAAAGCATCAGTCGCAACAAGTGGTATCAGAGCACGGGCAACGCTTGGGCTATTTGGAGGAGTAGATCGCTTTGGAAGTTCATCTAGGGCTTCGTTTGGTGATAAAGGTGGGATCTTTTTTTGTAAAAATCTCGTCTTTTTCAGTTTGGATCTATTTCTCGTTTGTTTCCGCATTGGTTTGGTGGTGCCTTGAGGATTATGGCCGAGAAAGAAGGAGTTGTGGGCAGTACTTCCGGCGTGAAGACCGTCCAAAGCTTGAATATCCACTCAATGAAGATTGATGTGGAAAAGTTCAATGGCACAAACAATTTTGGACTTTGGCGATGCGAAGTCATGGATGCGCTCAACGCGCAAAATTTGGAAGATACGTTGGAGTTGGACGGGAAACCGGACAACATTGATGAGAAGGTTTGGAAAAAGATGAATCGAACGGCGTGTGGTGTGATTAGGTCTTGTCTCACTCAAGATCTAAAGTATGATGTGATCAATGAGACTTCTGCAAAGAAGATTTGGGAGATCCTTGAGAGCAAGTATTTGACCAAGAGTGTGGAGAATCGCTTGCATTTGAAGAGGAGGCTTTACCGCTTCCAGTTGAAGAAAGGAACCTCCATTGGTGATCACATGAACCACTACACGAAGCTTCTTGCGGATTTGGCGAATGTGGATGTTAAGATTGAAGATGAGGACAAGGCGTTGTTGCTATTGAGTTCCTTGCCTGACGAGGAATATGAGACCTTCGTTCTTACTCTTATTAATGGGAAGGCATCTCTTTCGTATAGTGAGGTCACCGCTGCACTTGTGAATTATCAGCTTCGAAAGAAGGATAAGGAGACTTCGTTTGAGCCGGTAGCGGGGGCGTTGGTCGCAAGAGCAAAGGGTCCAAACCGTAGTGGGAGGTCGCAGTCTAGAGGGGCACATCTTGGAGTTCGTAAGAATCAATGTGCCTTTTGCAAAGAAGATGGACATTGGAAAGCCGATTGCCCAAAGTTAGTTGATCGAGCCGGGAAGAATAAGGGAAAAGCTATTCAAGCTTCAGAGGCGAATGTTGTCAAGGCTAGTGGCAACGATTCAGATTCGGATTCTTCGGGCTACTCGTTATCTGCACTGCCGTCAGTTTGTGTTGCCTACTCTACAGAGTGGATATTGGATTCGGGTGCTACATACCACATTTGCCCTAGGAGGGATTGGTTCTCCAGCTTTCAGGAGTTGGAAAGAGGGGATTTCGTGCTCATGGGGAATGATCACAAATGCTCTATTGGTGGTATTGGTACTGTTCGGATCAGGATGAGTGACGGGGTGATTCGGGAGTTGGTTGGAGTGAGGTTCGTTCCTCAGTTGAAGAAGAACATCATTTCACTTGGAGCTTTGGAGGCAGCTGGCTATAGGGTGACCTTGGCGGATGCACGCTTGAAGGTTACATTTGGGTCCATGATTGTGATGAAGGGCGTCAGAAGAAGAAATTTGTATTATTTGCACGGAAGCACGGTGATTGATAGGGAAATGACGACTTCATCAGATTCGGCTAGACTGTGGCATTGTTTGGTGCTGGGGTATATGATTGGTAATACCGTGCATTGGTTGTTGAGGAGTGCTATGACCTGCAGATTGAAGTCCTGTGAGCACATTAGGATGAGCGAGACCGTGGTGGAGTTTGGCACTTCTATCCATCGAGCGAGGGGTCTTTTTGGAGGTGTTCAGTCAGGCATTTGGGGGCCTTCCAAGGAGGCATCATTGGGAGGTAATCGTATCTTGGTTTCCACAGTTGGTGATTGTTCTAGGCATTATTGGGTCGCGACCAGTTCCCGTTGGTGTAAAGTCCTAGAAGTCAACAACAATTGGAAGAAGTGTATTGGCAGAAAGGTAACTCATTGTTTCAGCTTTGGTAGGGGTCCTTTCTTGCGTTGGTGCCGAGCTCACGGCAATAGGAGACACTTCATTGGTGTGGAGACTTTGGGGCGACGAGATGAGATGACAGTTTCGATGGGTCGTTCCTTTCTGGAGGAGGATCGGCGTTTGATGTCGAGCATTGGCATTGGTGTGCGGGCTTCGACATATTTGGGTCATCTTATGCATAGGTCGCCGACTGCTGCTTTAGGAGTTATTAGATCTGGTGGAGCTGCTTCAGATTTTGGGTCGCGTCGGATATTTGGATACCCAGCATTTGGTCACATCGTGGATGTGAGATTGGATCCGATTGCGCGTTTGGGGTTCGGAGGCTCAGTTGATTATCGTTTGGGAGCTTCTGATTTTGTTCTGAGCAGGTATGTCACTTTTGACTCTCGGCAGGTGGAGAGTGTTGATCAGGTCATTTGGATATCGCAGCAGGTGGAGAGTGATGCTACTCCACGTTGGGTGGAGATTACTCCACATACTCCAGATCATACTGCGTCATTTGGGATTCCAGCTAAGGTGACACAGGTTGGAGATCATTTGGTTTTGGATGCAGATGATGGATTGGTTTTGGATTCAGTTGCAGCTGGTAGATATAGTTTGGATATGGCCATTGGTTTACCTCAGGTGGAGGTGTTTGATTTGTCTCAATTTGGGGTCATTGGGAATACTATCAGTTGCAGATCGTTTGGTGATATTGGAGAAGAGTTGCAGACTTTTCTATTTGATTGAGGGCCTTTGGAGGCCGTTTGGGTGAACTACGTGAAGGCTTGATTCCTTGGGCAAAGGATACGTAGGCAGTCATTTTGATGCAGCCGATTTGGTGAGCGACATCGACATTTGGGGTGAGTGTTCACACTCTCATTTGGGTCTCAGCATGTGAGGCATTTGTTTGGTTGGTGTCGGCTCAGTTTTGGGAAAACTTCGCCGAGGTGGAGAATTGTGGAGAAAAATTGGAAAAAGCAGATTTTTGGTCATAAGTCGACTCATGCACAGGCATAAGTCGACTTATGGTAAGTCGACTTATGTTGGTGCATGAGTCGACTTACGTTCTGCTCTGGATTGTTGGTTTTTTGCTCTGCCAAGTCGACTTATCAGGTCTGATAAGTCGACTTATGATCTCTTCTCCAGTTGCTGTTTTTCGCTCTGCCAAGTCGACTTATGCAGACTGATAAGTCGACTTATGACGGGTTTTTTGGAAAGTTCAGGTTCCTATTTGCAGTCTGTTTGGGTTTCTGTTTTGGTATAAATACCAATACGATTTGAGGGTTTTGTGAGGAGAGTTTTGGGGTTTTGGAGCACAGAAAAAGAGAGATCTTTCTGAGCTATTTGTTAGGGTTATTGGTTGAGAGATTGAGAGATTTGTTGGTGAGATTAGTTGGTTCGTTTGAGCGATTTGTAATCTCAATTTGTACTCTCCTTCTCTATTAGTGAAAACCCACCCCCTTCTTGCTCCGTGGACGTAGGCAATTTGCCGAACCACGTAAAACCTTGGTGTTTGTGTTTTGTTTGGTCTTTCTCTCGGCGTTCGTTGGTTTGGTTTCTCAAAGCATCAGTCGCAACAGTATGGTCTGAAGATTGGGCAGAACCGACCCAAGAATGTGAATTCTACAACAAATGTGGAAATTACGGAAGCTGCACCAAGGAAAACACACCAATATGCACTTGTTTACAGGGTTTTGTACCAAAGTCTATTGACGAATGGGAAAACGGAAATTGGACAAATGGATGCACTAGAAGAACCACGTTAAGTTGTGAGAGAAATACGAGCAATGGTGACCAAGGAGAGCAAGATGGATTCTTGATGCTACAAGGAGTAAAGCTACCTGATTTATCTGATTGGGATCAAAATTCAGGTAGCATTAGCCGTTGTGAGCAGACTTGTTTGGCTAATTGTTCTTGCAAGGCCTATTCTTTCGTAACGGGTATTGGCTGCTTGAAATGGGGTGGCGATTTGGTGGATATTTATATGTTCTCAAGTGGAGGGGAGAATTTATATGTCAAGCTTGCAGGTTCAGAGCTAGGTATAAAAATTGAAGCTTATTACTTCTACATTTTAAGATAGGGTTAATTGCAGATAGATCCCCTGAATGATTTTTTTTTTTTTTTGACTGGAGGAAACTTTCACTCAGGGGTCTATCTGCTCTAATAGGTTCCATCCACAATTGGGTGACAGTAGGGGATCTATCTGCAAGTAACCCTTCAAAATAAATGATTTTCTTGTTACCTCATCGCATATCTGAAGAACTATTATCCCCTTAATTTTGATATGCAGCTACGAAAAAGAAGAAGATTTTGGTTGTGATCATAGTGATAATTGTTTTAGCAGTGTTCATTTCACTTGGATGCATCTACCTTGTTTTCAAGAAGAGAGTTACAGGTAAAATCATTAGAATTATTGGGACAACTGTGCTCGAATTCTTTTGTGTTCATTGATGTCTCATGATTTCCTTGACAGCATTCATTAAATTGCGAAAGGGCCAGAGGATCACGGTTACTGATCAAGGTTTTTCCAGTGGTGCATTTGAAGCTAGAGACGAGGAGAAAAATAGAAAGAGCCAACACTGTCATCTGCTTAGTTTCGATTCAATTGTCGGTGCCACTGGAAAATTCTCTCATTCAAATTTACTTGGTGAAGGTGGATTTGGTCCAGTTTACAAGGTTAGTCTACCTCCTTTATCACTGTATTTTTCATGATGAATTTAAGCTTGGATATGAAGAAAAATGATGCATATTGTTAAACATGTGAATAAGTTCAATATCAGAGCCAGAGATGAAACAGGTTTTGGTGACATGTGTGAATGAGCTCCACCATGTTGGCTTTATATCATAGATTTTGTGATCCGTTGACATCACCACAGCTATTTTCGAATGGACAAAAATTCTTCATTTATTAATCTAATCCACTTTAATCTATACTCTTCATAATGATGCCAACTTATAGATATTGATAGTAGACTCCTGTTCTTATATCATGTGGAGGAAAACCAACTGAAACTTATGCTTGTTTCATCTGCATCCATTGTTGTTATTGAATTTTATAGATAAAACTTTTTCTCGAAATCACACAGGTAAACTAATATGAACTGAGTTGATTAGGGACCGCTAACTTCTCTGAATATCTGGTTTTGAGTTGAGTTGTTCTTCCCTGCACAAGTAGCAACTCGTAAGAGGGCGGGGTCTGTTTCCCCCGTTGTTTCTCCGACGATCAAGTTAGCAAGGTACTTGATCGGGGAAAAAGATGAACTATCTCAGTTCTTAAGTGCTATGGAATGGAGAAAAGATGCAGAAAAAATTGCTTACCTTCGCCGGGAATAGTTTTCTCTTTTATAGTCATGTAGGAGAGGTATTTTGGACTCTTTCGGCTGAGTTTGAGCTGGCGGCTGAGTCAGCATCGACTTTACAGGTGTCGACTGTGGAGTGGTCACGGGATGGGCACGATCACTTTGGCATTAATGAGATGGGATAGGCGGCGTACGAAGCCGACGTGATCCAATGTGCCATAAATAATATCGGGGATGGAGAAATGATGGCGCCTGCAAAGCATTTAATATGATGTCGACACGCTATCAGCAGGGGGTTCGAGGTCGAAGTCGCTTTTTGGTTTGTATCGAGGGGTGTCGAGAAGTATCGCCTTTTGAGTCGGTTCCCGTGAGTTGCCGGCTAATTAACTAGTTGAGTAAGCTTGTGGCGAGTCGTCTCTGACGAGAGGACCGACAAGTACCGCCATTCGAGTCGACCCAGGGTGATGTCAACTCGGCAAATCAGCTAGATCGGGACCCTGGTGACGCAACGCAGAAGTGATAACATCGGAATCCACCAAGGGTGTTCTCTGAATCCACAAAGGACGATCTTTGAATCTACGAAGAACTTCGAATCCACGAAGAAAATATTAAAAAGAGAAATTTTATTGATAAAAAGTTATTCTTCTTTAAGGTTACATGACTCTTCTTAAATAGAAAAACAAATAAGACTTCTAATAAGACTAGAATTATAAAATAGAAAGTATCAAATAAGACTTCTAGTAAGACTAGAATTATAAAAAAAAGTGTCAAATTCTATCCTAAAAAGACTCCTTATAATAGAGGAAACTAGTAAGACTAGAATTATAAAAAAAAGTGTCAAATTCTATCCTAAAAAGACTCCTTATAATAGAGGAAACAAATCATGAATCAAAATTCAAATTCTATCCTAAAAAGACTCCTTATAATAGAGGAAACAAATCATGAATCAAAATTGATTTTGTTTTCTAATCTAATTTAACTCTAAAATTGAATTTATTTTCTAATCTATATTTCCTAATTCAAATAGACTCCAACTCAGATTAAGTGTCCTACATCAGTCTCCCCTGCTTGAAAAGAAGCTCGACCTCGAGCTTATATTTGCTTGAATAGTAACTTCATCGATAAATATCTTTCTTAACCTGCATCGATCAGCATCCGTCTTGTACTTAGCATTAATTTTCTCCATATGTTCTTTTACGTTCTCGGCTAGGACTTCTTCTGAATCTAATTCATATATTATTCTTTCCGACATCATATGTATTTTATTGGCGGCAAGTGGATGTGCAATTGACTTCAAAAACTCCACAAAATATGTTCTATGTTGCTTCTTGTATTCTAGTGCTTAAAGTATCATTAAATTCTTTTTAAAATTATTCACCAACTTTGCTTCTAGAGAAGAAAATCCCGCGTCATACTCCATACACACTTCTTTCATCTCCTTTATCTCTAGCCCTCCAACAAGCAATTCACACATATCATCAATTGTCTCACTCTCTAATTTATCCTTCTCCTCCATCGGGACAACATCTCACACATATCATCAATTGTCTCACTCTCTAATTTATCCTTCTCCTCCATCGGGACAACATCAATATGTATAATATCACTCTCAACCCGTCTCACTCTCTAATTTATCCTTCTCCTCCATCGGGACAACATCAATATGTATAATATCACTCTCAACCACTTTGAGAATATCATGTATATCATCCATCTTCACTATCATATCACCATAATGAATCTTATGGATAACGATTGTTTGCACCTTAGGAGGAATTTCGATAGGGGCATGTTCTTCTTTTTTAGTTACAACCAAGTCATAGACCTCTTCAAATTGCTTCAACTTTTTTGCTAAAGCCTCGTTGTTTGCCACCAAAGGTTTCTTCTCCTTAGTAGCTTTTATCTTAGATGGCTCTTTTTCTGTAAGAGGCAGAAGTACAATTCGACGTCATCTTTTTTGAAGATATAAACATTATCTCTACTTCTGTGGGTAGCTCCAATATCGAATTGTCATGGCCTACCTAAAAACATATGACAAATATCTATCTCAACCACATCACATAACACATCATCAAAATACCTGTGACCAATAGAAAAAGGCACATGACACATCTCATCGTTCTGCACATCATTACCCTTGTGAATCCAGTCGATCTGGTAGAGAGGTGAGTGTTTCTCTGTCTTCAAACCTAACTTATGTTGGAAATTTATCAAATAATTAAAAATTATAGCATGCAGATAAATCCGAAAATTTAAAAACAATTAAAACTGGCCTGAACGGGAGCAGTCGTGTATTCACTGCCCTAGAAGATTGAGAACCCGCCTATCGCCCTGGCGCAGATGGTTCCCTCCCCCTAGCAGTAAAAACCCCCGGAAACGGCCGGCCTCTACACTCGGGCGAGAGTGCAGAGCTTCAGCTCAGATGAAGGAAGTTGCCCATAAAATAAAACTAAAATGTAGATGAAAATAATATGTAGGGGAGAGAAGAAAAACAAGAGAAACTTGTTGTATATTTTTCCTTATTATTTTGAGCTCAACATACGGATATATATATAGGGTTGGAAAAGACGTTACAAAACCCGTAATTAATTCTGTAACGTTCGTCATAAATTTTATAACGTTCCCCATAATTATATATCCGTTACACATATTTTAATTGCATGTTTTAATTACAATATTTATTATAATTCATGAAGGCAAAAATGCCTTTTGTTAACAAAATATCTAACAGTCCCCCCAAAAGGCAATATTGACTGAAGACTCAGAAATCAATAAATAAATCAAGAAAACATAAAACAAATATAGGTTGGGCAACCTTTCGTATCGTGAATTCGGGAGAGGTAGCTTTCGGCTTTGAACCTTTCCTTAGTGAGTTCATCGCCACCTGAGGGACATAATGGACTATGCCTTGAATTAGGCCCCTTTAATCAGGTATTGATGAAAACACACACAATACGCTTCATCTATTGAGCAAAGCGGGTTGAGCGTTAAAGGCCATGCTCACAATAAACCGACTCATGAGAGTTTCTAGGGGTTAGCCCAGCCCCCCCAACCGCGACCATCACGGTTCCTCTCACGTAGGTAAGTCCTCAAAGGGTACTACAGCTGTTTATTTAATACCCCCCACAATACACGCGTTGGACTTATTAAGAGTAAAACTCAGCCTAGCCAGCTGTATCATAAGAGCATCGTCATCATAGAGAAGGGGTAGTAGCAAATGCTACATAATGATATATAAATATATCTAGGTCGATGCTCCACACGAGAGTCACTTGTCCAGCTTGTTTCTACCACATTGAACCGACATTGGGACTACGTCTCCAAATAAGGGTTGGGTTGCCGCTGTCAGTGACCTCATCTATGGGCTTAACCCCATCTCCCTCGATGAATCCAGAACCACACTCCTGGATAATCCCTTAGTCAAAGGGTCATCAAGATTCTTTTCACAGACTTTACAAAGTCTAGAATCATAACTTTGCCTAGCAGGCGTTGTATTTATTTATCAAGTTCTTATTTTGTAATTAGTCCATCATATTGTTTGAAATTGACATTAGGTCATGATCTATGATCATAAAAGATCATAGTCTATGTCTGAAGAGATTGACCTTAATATCTGAACATTTCAAACTAATGTGGAACTAAAAATTCTGCAGTTATGCATATGCACATACATGAATGAAATTAATAATAGATACATGCAGAGCATAATAGGATTTCGTATCTTAAAATATATTTTCGTATCTTAAAATACATTTCATACTTCATAATTCAAATGCATAAAATTTTTAAAATTCTTCTATTATAAGAGGTTACAAATTGGTTGCCTACAAAGGAGACCGTCCAAATTTAAATCGGTTGCCTACAAATGAGACCTTCCAAATTTAAATTGGTTGTCTACAAAGGAGACCTTCCAAATTTATGTTGCCATTTTCTAGTACCACCTCTTATACAAATAATAATAATAATAATATTTGTACATACGTGCTTTAAATTTTACAAGTGCATTCTTGCATAAAACCTTGTAATTAATCATGTAAAAAATGCAAGTTATCTAAAAAGATATATGAGCATTTATTGCAATATTCATCAAAATGCAATAAAAATGATGAACTTTACATTTGAATAATATAATTCACCATATAAAATAGAATTTTAAAAGATGCACCTCTTTGATTTGGTTCGCTCATATATTGATCATTTATCATTAGGCAATATATGATGCAAGAAGCGTAATTAAATAAATGCATATGAATTATTCTCATAATTCTGGTCCTCTTATTCCAAACCAAAAACTCCTAAAGTGAAAAGATTAAAGTTTTACCCGGGTAGTTAGCCAGGTAAGGATAGTAATAGAGGTTGATCAAAGATCAATTAAGTACCTCGTTCCTTGCAGAGCGCATTACGCAACCCTTAAACCTTGCCTTAGACACCAACTAATCCAAGAAAACTTGAATCGGTTCACTCAATGAGTTTTTGTTCCTTAACAGTATATAGAAACTTTAAATTATTTCCTGCAAGCATTTAATTTGCCTAGCAACTATACTGCAAACATATGTTGGATAAGGCCGAGGAGGGGTTTACCTATTGATGTTCGAACCTCATGATTTTCATGTCTTGAGAGTAAAAACTCATCTGCTACAGACAACTGCCACTTAAGTTGCTGAACAAATCTGCATTCACTTTTACCACCTTCTGTACTAAGCTTATTAGATGCATAAACACTCCAAAGTATGAAATTATTAATAGAAGGCACCATATTGATAGATTAAAGAAATGAAAGCATTAAACCATGAAAAAAAAAACAATCCAGATATTTCAAAGCATCTATGCATCCAGAGTTTGTTCTCTTTATTCTTGTCAAAACCATGCATATGAAATTTTCTTGTCAAAACCAGCATATGAAATTTTTTAAGAATAAAAATATACACTGGGCATGTTTCATTGAACATTACAAATGCGTGCATATTTCAAATTATTTTCCAATTAAGGTCAACTATATATCTATATGAGCATCACTCAGATCTGACTTAATGAATGTACATAGCAGAAGCTAATTAATGACCCAATAGATTATGTTCAAAACAAATCAAATCAGGAAACTGATTTGATCAAGAGTTCAAGAAACATAAGGTGAAATCAAATATACGAACTTGAACATGGAGGTAAGAAAAATTATTCTATTATGTACAACTGCAAAGGAGAGTGGAGCAACAATGGAAACCATCCTTCAATTATTGCAAAGTTACAGCCAAGGCAATTGTACTTATACAATTTAATTATTATGCAATCATGACATTTCTAATGATATTTTTTGATAAGCATAGAAAACAAACTTTAGCTTCTAATAAGTTTCACTGGTCATATTATATAAATCTTCCTCATACAACAACAGAAAGATATACCAAGGTAGATTGACCTAAAAAGTGTTGCTAAAAAGGTCGGTTAACAAGAAACTTACACGCTTTTGTAATTAATTACAGTTAGTTTTTAATTATAATCAAATAAAAGCAATTAAAGCAATTTAAACAATTAATTGCAATTAACCGTTAAAATTAATTGGCAGTTAATTAAATTAACAGAAACATTAACTACAAAATGTATTTATTTTAAATAATGAATCAGTAACATTTTTTTTGTGAACAGTAACAATTTTTTTATGAACAGTACTTTTCATTTTATAATGAGCAGCAATTTCTGATTAAATTGCGAACAGAAATAGTAAAAAAAAAATTATTTTTTTTATTTTTTAAATCGGATGAACAGTGCTGTCTCGAATGAACAGTAACTTTAAAAATTATTTTCCCGGATTTAAATCGAAAGCTATAAACATTTCAATCTTCTAGATTGTTGAAAATTTATCAAATAATTAAAAATTATAGCATGCAGATAAATCCGAAAATTTAAAAACAATTAAAACTGGCCTGAACGGGAGCAGTCGTGTATTCACTGCCCTAGAAGATTGAGAACCCGCCTATCGCCCTGGCGCAGATGGTTCCCTCCCCCTAGCAGTAAAAACCCCCGGAAACGGCCGGCCTCTACACTCGGGCGAGAGTGCAGAGCTTCAGCTCAGATGAAGGAAGTTGCCCATAAAATAAAACTAAGATGTAGATGAAAATAATATGTAGGGGAGAGAAGAAAAACAAGAGAAACTTGTTGTATATTTTTCCTTATTATTTTGAGCTCAACATATGGATATATATATAGGGTTGGAAAAGACGTTACAAAACCCGTAATTAATTCTGTAACGTTCGTCATAAATTTTATAACGTTCCCCATAATTATATATCCGTTACACATATTTTAATTGCATGTTTTAATTACAATATTTATTATAATTCATGAAGGCAAAAATGCCTTTTGTTAACAAAATATCTAACAACTTATTCACCATACGTCGAGAGACAAGATTCTTTCTACTATGATTATCAATAATAACATCACAAATCTTCTGCATCATAGTGCACCTCGTGCGGAAGATATTATGCTCTAGAGGTGATTCTTCTTTCTTTATTGCTTCTTTAGTACTCTTCCCAACTCCAAGGTCTTGCTTAGGGTCATTGTCATTGTTGAATTCATCATGTGGAGTCGAATCATGTCGTTGGCGACCATCAACGCGATTTCGAACTCCTCTCATGTTCAGACGCTCCACTGCCGACGCAAGTCACTCTAGGTAATCTTCATCTGATTAACACCGGTCTTCAACACGTCAAACTTAGTTCGAGAAATATGGGCTTCATCACCTGCCATCGGATTAGAGGAACAAGACTCTGATACTAATTGACGCAGCACGAAAGTGATAACCTCGGAATCCACCAAGGGTGTTCTCTGAATCCACAAAGAACGATCTTCGAATCCACGAAGAAAATATTGAAAAGAGAAATTTTATTGATGAAAAGTTATTCTTCTTTGGGGTTACATAACTCTTCTTAAATAAAAAAACAAATAAGACTCCTAATAAGACTAGAATTATAAAAATAGAAAGTATCAAATAAGATTCCTAGTAAGACTAGAATTATAAAAAAAAGTATCAAATTCTATCCTAAAAAGACTCCCTTATAATAGAGGAAACAAATTATGAATCAAAATTGATTTTGTTTCCTAATCTAATTTGACTCTAAAATCTTATAATAGAGGAAACAAATTATGAATCAAAATTGATTTTGTTTCCTAATCTAATTTGACTCTAAAATTGAATTTATTTCCTAATCTATATTTCTTAATCTAAATAGACTCCAACTCAGATTAAGCGTCCTACATCACCTGGCAGTCCCATGGGTCGAGTTGACTGAATTGTGCGTAACAGGGGATATTTGCCTGTTATTGACAAGGGATCATAATTTGGCGACTGAAAACACCATAACAAAAAGAAAAGAAATCTACGGTTGAGCTGAAATTAACTATGCAGAGGCTTCAATACTAATCCGTATTCACACAGATGGTAATCAATAAAAGACTTAAGATTAATTGTTTATCTGTTGCTTATGAAGGCATTGATTGTTTATACGTTCAATAGACTATGATTTAGATATTTCTTTAATAGGGTACACTTGCTGATGGGCAAGAAATAGCCGTAAAAAGACTGTCAAGGAGTTCAGGGCAAGGTTCTGAAGAATTCAAGAATGAAGTTATGCTAATCTCCAAGCTTCAACATCGAAATCTTGTTAGACTCTTGGGCTGTTGCGTTCAAGGAGAAGAAAAGATTTTGATCTATGAGTACATGCTCAATAGAAGCTTAAATACTTTTCTTTTCAGTAAGTAATGCTACTGTACACATATATCAGACATGTCATATTTTCAATTGGGTAAGTTTGATGTAATTAACTAAAAACTTTTGGCAGATCCGACAAAGAAAAGAGTACTAGATTGGAAAACACGATACAAAATCATTGAAGGGATTGCTAGAGGGCTCCTCTACTTACATAGGGACTCAAGGCTAAGAGTCATCCATCGTGATCTCAAAGTCAGCAACATTTTGTTGGATGAAGATATGAACCCCAAAATTTCAGATTTTGGCATGGCGAGGATTTTTGGGCACGATGACAATGAAACAAACACAAAGCGAGTCGTTGGAACATAGTAAGCTTGATTCTTACCCCTAAGACTAGGTAGCGAGCATATAAAGCGCAACGTTCCCAAAGTATCTCTAACCAAGATATGATTTGTTTTTCACTCTATGGACCTTTCATAATATATATTTTTTAAAGGAAATTTCACCTTTTTCAGGGAAAACGAAGTAAAGTTCTTTTTAATAATTTTCAATATAATATCGACTATGATTCTGTTGCAGTGGGTACATGTCTCCAGAGTATGCAATGCACGGGCTGTTCTCAGTTAAATCCGATGTCTACAGCTTCGGAGTACTGCTTCTAGAGATCGTGAGTGGAAAGAAGAATAGCGCGTACCACCATCCTGAATTCTCCCTTAACCTTCTGCCTTATGTAAGTTTAAGCTTTCCTTTCTTATAGTTTTCCTTCCAATCAATCAATAAAAGGAGAAATCTGGCTGGTATAGGCATGGAAGCTATGGAGCGAAGATAACGTTATGGAATTTGTCGATACATCCATAAGGGATTCATGCTCAGGGACCGAAGTATCAAGATGCATCAGCACCGCACTCTTATGTGTGCAAGATCGAGCCAACGATAGGCCAAATATGTCGTCTGTGGTTGTGATGTTAGAGAATGGGACTGATATTGATCAAGTGTTGCCGAGGCAGCCAACTTTTTCAGCAGATAGAAGTCTGTGTGAGACTGAGTCGTTGAAATCTGATCAAAATCTCTCGGGCAACATTTCTTCAACTACTACGTTGATCGGGAGATAGTAGCTTAGGTAACTTCGATGATAAGCCGTATACATTGTGTTGCAAAATTTTATTTACCATTTGTTTGCTTCTTTGCCAATTATGTTGAATTTCAGGTTAGTTGATACTTTAGGGTGTATACTTCAATTTAAAAGAAGTAGGAAATGATATGTTGTTACCACAATCAGAGCTGATAGTAGTTTTTCTCTAATATAATTATGGAGCTGCGGATCCAAGAACACCGATGGTTTACATTTTGGCACATTTTGAGCTAACCCCCTTAACATTTAAAACTGTCACTCAAGCACGCACACTAACTTTTTGAGTTTTCACAAAACGCCTGTCGTTGACCGGAAATAGAGTTGCAACGGCAAATGCTGCAAACAAATTTCTATTCTAGTGGAATTAGTTGGGAATGTAACTGGAGTCCTTGTCTTGATGTCACGCCATCAAGTTAGTTAAAACAAATTGGAAATGTAGACCTTTTTACAGTTTTGAGACAAATAACCACTTCATTTGCAATGAACCTAGATCTTTTACGGGAATAAAAAAAAATTAGATTTGGATCTGGAAATATATTTCCTGTAATAACATGCAAATATCTAAATGACGGATTTGAGGTCAATTTCCTGCAACATATGACATTTTCTGCATTAAGATTGCAACATACTGAACAGCCCCATAGGTTCGAACTTTTTTCGACATCCCCCTAAATTGTGTAACCCAACATCCGATCTCTAACATGTTAGAAGATAATTTATAATTCTAGAAAAATCTAGAATATTTGTAAAAAGCATGTAAACTAGAAATGACTAAAATAATCTAGAAACTAGATATATTAAGCATGGATGTACGTAGAAAATAGAATTATATAGAATTCTCTAGAAACTTGATGTATCATGAAAAATCTAAGCATTCTAGTGAATTCCTTGTGAGCCTATAAAAGGCTTTGAATGTAAGCTTTGTAATCAAGCCTTAAGCAATTCATACAAAGTTACTTCAAGTTCTTAGCATCTTCTCATTTTCCCTTCTATTTCTTCCATTCTCAATCCTACAAAAACTAAAATAATTTACCCATCTAGCTTCCGCAACTCCAACGAAACACTCAGCACATTCTGGGCCATAGAATTTTATGACTGTAATTGAACATTCGGATACTGCAGATTATGCTTTCTTTTGAAGAATTAGGTCGATTACTGAGGGTTTCGACATAAATATCTTGGTGTTATGTTGTTGATCTGTTTGACTGTTTGAGTGTAGATAAGATACGTACCTGTAAAATTATTTGCATGGTTTCTTTTTCTTGCCACCGTTACCAGGATCGTTGAACTGTATGTTGTGCTATCAGCTGAACGTAGACTTCGGAAGCTTATGTGAGGGAAATATCGGTAGCATTTTTAACAACCGTCATAAAAAGAAAGAAACAACGAAAAAAACAGAGAGAGAGAAGAATTCAACACTTCAGACTTTAAGAGCCATTGACAACTACCTAATCAACGAAAATCAAACACCAAAAAAAAAAAAAGTAAATAAATAAGAGGACAGAGGGAGAAGAATTCAGCACTTAGACTAACACCAATTTCGGGTCAAATACATCACTGTCAGCTATTTCTCTTGAGAGAGAGAGAGAGAGAGCGCTCAACAAGAAGAAAACTAAGAAAATAACTTCACCATCTTCTTCTGAATCTCATGTCACTATGAATTCTATCCCCATCCTCCCCCTCATTATTCTCTACCTCCCTTCTCTCTTCATCCTATCACAACCCACAGACACCTTAACTCTAGGAATCTCCCTCACAGATGGCAATTCCCTAGTATCCTCTAGCAATATCTTCGAGCTCGGTTTCTTCAGCATGAATAACTCGAACAACCGATATATCGGTATTTGGTACCACGACTTCTCTCCGAAAACTGTAATCTGGGTAGCAAACCGCGAAACTCCGCTCACAGACAGCTCGGGTTCGCTGAAAATTTCTCCTCAACGAAACCTCATCCTTCTTAACTCCACAAACAGCATCCTCTGGTCATCTAATACATCATCAACATCCCCAAATGAAACCACACTTACACTATTGGATTCTGGCAACTTACAGCTTAACGACTCGCGCACCTACATCTGGCAGAGCTTTGACGATCCTACTGACACGTATTTACCTGGAATGAAGATTGGGCTTGATCTTGCAAGTAACAAGAACCAATTGCTCACTTCGTGGAAGAATACCGAAGACCCAAGGGCAGGGAATTTTTCGATAGGCATGGATCCTGATCGGTCGACACAGATATTTATATGGGAAGGATCGAAGCTGAGATGGAGGACCGGTCGTTGGAATGGACAGGTATTTATCGGTATTGAATATATGGTGCCATTTTATATTGATGGATTCCAAGTTAGTAACTATGAGAGGGAGGGGAAGATGTATTTCTTTTACCCACCTGGGCATGTTTATCGTCGATTTGTTCTAACTTGGGATGGTATATTAGAGCATAGAGTTTGGGATAATGACACTAAAGCTTGGTCTAACATATGGGCACAACCTAGTAAAGAATGTGAATTTTACAATAAGTGTGGCAATGGTGCAATTTGTGAAGATGGGAATGATCCTATATGTACATGTTTGCAAGGATTTGTGCCAAAATCAATGAAAGAATGGAGTAATGGAGATTGGAGTAACGGGTGTTTTAAAAGAACACCGTTAAAATGTGAGAGGAGTAATAGCAACAACGAAAGCTTAGAAGAGGAAGATGGGTTTTTGAAGTTGGAGAGTTTGAAGGTGCCGGATTCTTCTGATTTGTATCAGGATGCGAATGGTATCAGCGGATGCCGAAAAGATGTAGGAAAATAGTTTTGAAGGCTTATTTTACGTAACGGGTATTGGGTGTTTGGTTTGGGGTGTAGATTTGGTAGATATTCATGTGTTGTCCAGTGCAGGAAATGATTTTTATCTTCGGCTTGCTGGTTCAGAACTGAGTAAGTCGGGCATGAATTTATTTTAAGTTTATTTTGTGTTATTTGTAGCTTGAAATCAAGTATGTTCGAACTTCAGATAACAAGAAGAAAAAGAAAAATACGGTAGCAATTGTCGTAGGGATAATTGTCTCAGCAATGGTTGTTTCAGTGCTATGCATCTACCTAGTGATGAAGTACAGAAAAAGAGTTAAAGGTGAAGCATTTGGATCGTATGAAGCAGTTTAGTTTGTAGTTTTTCTTCTCATTGATATGTAAATATTTATGCTTTTTTATTTTTTTATCCAGATTTCATTGAGTTGCAAAACAGCCACAGTCAAGGATTAAATGACCATTTTAGCAGTGTATTTGAAATCAGAGAAGAAGATCAGGATGGAAAGAGCAAAGGTTCACCTTTACTTAGTTTTGATTCGATTGTAGCAGCAACTGAAAATTTTTCTCTCCATAATTTGCTTGGCAGAGGAGGATTTGGTCCAGTTTATAAGGTTAGCTTTCACTGTTTCTGATAATTATGACTAACTTTCCCCAAAAAAGAAAGCTAAGAAATAGATTAAGTTGCCTCAAATGTCAATCATATCATATAAAAACAGTAATTGATAAAGCATTTGAGACTATATACATTGTTCTAATGAGGATATTGGTTGATAACTATATATTCTTGGGTTCGCGTCGGTCGACCGATGAGCTTGTGTCGGTCGACCGACCAGAGCGAACTTCCTGGGCTCGATTCCTACAGGCTTTTTGGTCGACCGGTCCAAGCCTGTCGGTCGACCGGAGCTGGATTTTTCAGCTTTATTGCTGATTTCATTTCAGGTTTTAATCGTCACACATCCAAAACCAACAATACATTGTTCTAATGAGGATATTGGTTGATAACTACATATTCTTGTGTTTCCAAATGTTGTTCGCAGAAAATTGTTTGCAGAAAAAACTCATCAATGTTCAGTAAGTCTAATTGCACTAGTACTGATAAGTTAAAATTTTCTTCTTCCAAAGATTTCCTGTCCTTTTAGTACAAGATTCATCTAATCGACCATAACGTATTTCAGGTTTGTAATTGCTTTAGCTTCAAATTGCAGAAATTTTGACTCTTCAGTTTTCCTTTAAAATTTTTGGATTAGAAAAAATATGAATCTTCTCATTCTTATACGCCCTCTCATTCCCGTTATTTTGATTGATTCAGTGTTCAGGTTCTTTAATACTGGGTGTGTTTGGTTTTTTTTCCCCTTCAATATATTCAGTAATTCTTATCTACAAAAAGTCTGAGACTGTTTACAGATTAGTAAAGCAAAATAATATCTATGTTCAGTAAACTTTATTAAATGACTATCTGAAATTGCTAAAAGTGCGCGTACTGTTTTTTTGTAGGGCACATTGCCTGGTGGGCAAGAAATTGCTGTAAAAAGACTGTCAAGGAGTTCAGGACAAGGCCTGGAGGAATTCAAGAATGAAGTTATCCTAATATCCAAGCTACAACACCGGAATCTTGTTAGACTCTTGGGATGTTGCATTCAAGGAGAAGAAAAGATACTGATCTATGAATACATGCCAAATAGAAGCTTAGATGCATTTCTTTTTGGTAAACTAATTTTACTATACAAGCATATATCAAATTCACATTCACAAAATCCATTTACCATTATAAGTTTGAACTTTTGGGTGCAGATACAAACAAGAACAGATTACTAGATTGGAAAACACGATACAGAATCATCCAAGGCATTGTTCGAGGGCTCTTGTATCTTCATAGGGATTCCAGGCTCAGAGTAATCCACCGAGATCTCAAAGTTAGCAATATATTGTTGGATGAAGAGATGAACCCCAAAATATCAGACTTTGGCATGGCAAGGATTTTCGGGCGTGATGATAACGAAACAAACACAAAGCGGGTTGTTGGTACATAGTAAGATCTTGCTCCTGAAGATTCTTAGGATTTTATGTAAGTTACGCACCAAGAGGCTTATAGTGTGATGCATAACTGCAGTGGTTATATGTCTCCAGAGTATGCAATGCAAGGTGCATTCTCAGTGAAGTCAGATGTCTATAGCTTTGGAGTACTGCTTCTTGAGATTGTTAGCGGAGAGAAAAATAGCACATACGAAAATCCTGAATTCTGTCTTGGCCTCTTACCCTATGTAAGTACTGGAATACTTATGTGGATATATCTATGGGTACATCACAGGAATCTAAATTCATTTATACACTGTTTTCAAGAAACACCATCATCAAAAAAGTTCAACAGTAAACACACCTTATCTATGACTGTTAATGGAACTACTAGTTTTGTAATAGATTTTTGTTCTTCAAATGCATGCATTGATGTTTGCACTTGAGTAGGCACCTGCAAAGATTTCTGAGCTTCAAAATTGACCGATTTTTATGATGATCATACATCAGGTGGGTTTTTATTGAACTTTTTTGGATGAAGTGGTTGCTTGAAAAATAGGATATAAATGAAGGCAGTTTCTTGTATTTACCCCGTATCTAAAATTCTCCCTCTTCCAAATGTTTGATTATGTATCTGTGTAGGCATGGAAGCTATGGAATGAAGATAACGTTAAGGATTTTATCGATCCATCTATAAGGGATTCATGCCCAATAAGTGAAGTATCGAGATGCATACATGTTGGTCTATTGTGTGTACAAGACCAAGCATTGGATAGGCCAACTACGTCACTGGTTGTTACAATGTTGGATGGTGGAAGTAGTGGACTTGGCTTGCCGCGACAACCAACATTTGCTGCAAAGAAAACACCAAGTGAAACTGATACATCGACATCTGATCTTAAACGCTCTGGTCACGTTTCATTCACTACACTAACAGGACGATAGGATTTCACGGCTACCATGAATTATTTGGATATAAGTTTTGTATTACATTATTGGAAGGATTGGTTGTAGATATTACACTTGTGAATATTTTGAATCATCAAGCAGATCGCAGAGAGTTGTAAGTTTGTGATAGGATGACTCAGTAAAACAAGTTTTTTTGGGGAGAAACCGAAAGGTTAATGATGTAAAGTATATAGTAACATTAAAGACTTAAAACTGCAAACAAAGTCTGAAAAACAAAATCTAAGACAATGCAATGTCCTATGTCTATACAGGTCCATTTCTGATGTTCTATATTTCTTATGTACTAAGTTCTATATCCCTTATACCTTACTAAAGTGTAAAGAATCAGAGTGGGTAGTTAGAATTCCCATGTTCAATTCTAATTCTTGACACACGTCTCCCTAATATTATTATTATAAAAAAAAGAACTATTCCGCTTATAAAGCCTTCTTCTTCTCTGAAAAAGAAAGAAAGAAAGAATGAATAGCAAACAAAAGAAAATATCTATAACAAATTGAATGGGAAAAATGTTTGGGATTCGAAACAATCAATCGAACTCTTGCCCTTCCGGACCTTGTGTTGAAAGTAGGAAAGTAGGAATAATACCACAAATAAAGATCTAACTTGCAAAAACAGTAAAAGAGACGAACACACAGATTTAACGAGGTTCGGCAACGTGCCTACGTCCTCGGGAGCCACACCACACAATCTCTTTATTAATTGAAGAAGAAAATACAAGCTCTTAAACAAAGGATTAATCTCTCTGAGATTCTCTCTCTCTTTGCAGTCAAAAAGCTCTCTTTTTGATGTTATTCAAACCCTAAAACGTTTGGGGTATATATATAGAATCCTGATTGAAACAGATTCCTAAACAGAATAGGAACCTGCAAAAAATACGCGCGGTCGACCGACGCGGTCGACCGATTGCAAAACCCGAGAGCAGTTTTCCTACAGGGTTTTGACGGTCGACCGCCCCGGTCGACCGTGACCTGATCCAAGCTCTCCCAGCTCCTGTACACGTTCGCGGTCGACCGGATCGGTCGACCGTGGATCTTTCTGCTCGATTTTCTGTCTTTTTGATTCCAGCTCTTGTCTCGAACTTTGGGTCTACACCCGAACTCTCCCCTTCTTCGCATGTATCTTTTCCCCGAAAAAATTCTTCCTTCAATCAACAATATCCCGGCGATCTCGCCGATCCTCGTAGTGTGGCTCCGCCTTCGTCTTCTACTCGTGAAGGTCAACTGAAGTTGCGCACAACTCCAGTTTCTCAATGGCGACTGCTTTCATCAACATGTCCGCCGGATTTTGACTCCCCAAAATCTTCATTAAATGTAACTTTCCGTCCTCAACTAGCGAGCGTATAAAATGGTATTTGACGTCGATATGCTTCGTTCTGGCATGATATACTGGATTCTTGGCAAGATGTATAGCGCTCTGGCTATCACAATAAAGAACTCATCTCCATTGCTTCAGATCCAACTCTTCCAAGCACCCGTTCAACCAGATCATCTCCTTGCTTGCTTCAGTCACCGCGACATACTCAGCCTCGGTTGTAGACAAAGTCACAATCTTCTGCAGATGTGAGACCCAACTCACTGCTGTCGACGCTAAGGTATAAACATACCCCGTGATGCTTCGCCTCGTATCATGATCACCGGCGAAGTCCGCATCCACGTATCCCTGCAGCACCAACTCCTTCCTCCTAAAACATAGTGGCTTGTTCGTTGTTCCCCTCAAGTACCGCATTATCCACTTTACGGCCTCCCAATGCTGCTTTCCTGGATTGCTTGCAAATCTGCTCACAACTCCCACTGCATGGGCGATGTCCGGCCTCGTACAAACCATCGCGTACATGAGACTCCCAATGGCCGAAGAATATGGCACCCTGCTCATATACTCTCTATCTGCATCTGTCTTAGGTGATTGCTCCTCAGATAGCTTGAACTGACTTCCAAGAGGTGTGCTAACAACTTTAGTATTCTGCATGTTAAACCTCTGAAGTACCTTCTCAATGTATTCAGCTTGGCTCAATCTCAATGTCCCTTCAGCTTCATCCCTACTGATTCGCATCCCTAGAATCTGCTTCGCTGCACCCAGATCCTTCATTGTAAATTCCTTTGCTAGATGTCTCTTCAAATTGTTTATCTCTTCTAAACACAGTCCTGCTACCAACATGTCATCAACATATAATAACAAAATAATGAAGCTGGACTCGAACCTTTTGAAATAACAGCAATGATCCGAATTACATCTTCTGTAGCTATTGTTCTGCATGAAGTTATCAAACTTCTTATACCACTGTCTTGGAGCCTGTTTCAAACCATATAAGCTCTTCTTGAGCTTGCTACACCATCTCTTCCTTTTCTTCTTTAATGAAGCCAACAGGTTGCTTCATGTAGATTTCTTCATCCAAGTCACCATGAAGAAAGACAGTCTTCACATCTAACTGCTCAAGGAAGAGGTCTTCTGCAGCTACCAAACTCAACACCACTCTGATGGTTGTGAGTTTCACAACAGGGGAAAATATCTCCGTGTAGTCTACTCCTTCCCGCTGTTGAAACCTCTTCATGACTAATCTGGCATTGAATCTCTTGTTTCCATCACTCTCCTGCTCGACCCGGTAGACCCATTTATTATGCAAGGCTTTCTTCTGCGCAGGTAGCTGGGCTAACTCCTATGTCTCATTAGTGAGTAGAGAATCCATCTCCTCCTGCATCGCATGCTCCCACTGCTGAGATTCACTCACTTACACTGCCTCTTCATAACACTCCGGCTCTCCACTATCTGTTAAGAGTAGATAATCAAGTGACGAGAGATATTTGGGATTTGGTTTGGGTACCCTGGATGACCTCCTAAGCTCCACGCCCTGGGTAGTAGCTTCTGCACCTGGAGCCTCATCCGTTCTGTGGTCAGAACAAACATCATCTCCCCTGTCTGGAAGTTTCTCTATATCCATGTACTTAGATCCATCTGTATCTGAAATGCTGCTCCCACCCTCATTGAATATCACATCCCGGCTCCTGATGATCTTCCTGTTCTTTTCATCCCAAAGGCGATACCCGAACTCATCAATGTCGTATCCAATGAATGTGCACTTCTGTGACTTAGCTTCTAGCTTGTCCCTGACATGGTCACTGATATGAACATAAGTCACGCAACCAAATACCCGCAAATATGAGAGATTTATCTTCTTTCCACTCCAAACTTCCTCTGGAATCCTAAAATCTAATGGAACTGATGGCCCGTGATTAATCAGGTAGGCTGCCGTATGCACCGCATCCGCCCAAAATGTCTTAGGCAGACCTGCATGTAGTCGCATGTTCCGCGCACGCTCTATCAAGGTCCTGTTCATTCTCTCTGCAATGCCGTTCTGCTGCGGCGTCCCTGGAGTAGTCCTCTCTAAGCGAATCCCATTCGTAGCATAGAACCTCTTGAACTCCTCCAGCTCATATTCTCCACTATTATCTGATCTCAAGCACTTCACCTTCAGATCTGTCTCGTTCTCGACCATGGCCTTCCACTTCTTGAAGATTTTGAACACCTCTGACTTGTGCTTCATGAAGTAAATCCACACCTTCCTTGAGTGATCGTCGATAAAGGTGACGTAGTATCTCGAACCGCCAAAAGAAGACACACTAGCTGGGCCCCATACATCTGTATGAATCAACTCTAGCTTCTGAGCCTTAGGTGGCCTTCCACCCTTCTGGAAACTAACCCTCTTCTGCTTCTCAAAGATGCAGTCTTCACAAACCCCGACTTCCATGGTGTCGATCCCGGTTAGCTTTCCTTGTGAATGTAGAATTTTCATCCCCTTCTCGTTCATGTGTCCCAGCCTGTTGTGCCACATATCTGTACTCTCCTTGCCAGCTGTAATTGCGAGGGTGTCACTCGCATGTGAAGTGAGGTAGAGAGTTCCTGTTTTATTGCCTCGGGCAACAACCATAGTACCGTTGGAGATTCTCCACGAATCCCCGGTGAATGTCGAAACGTAGCCTTCTGCTCCAAGCTTTCCCACCGAAACAAGATTCCTCTTCAGTTTCGGCACGTGTCTCACATTCTTCAAATTTCACTTAGAGCCATTTATCTGTATCTGAACGTCGCCCTTTCCAACAATATTGCAAGGTTCATTATCCCCCAAATATACTTTACCAAAGTCCCCTGCTACATAGTTCTGAAGTAGTTTCCTATTAGCAGTGGCGTAGAAAGAAGCTCCTGAGTCGATGACCCAAGAATCAGAATCGCTATCCATAGCAAGGATCAAGACATCATGCACGATATGAGCCTCCTACTCACCTGCATCCTTCTTTGGTGCTTTACAGACCGAAGACATATGGCCCTCCTGGCCGCAGTTCCAACACTTCCCTTTGATGGACCTAACCTTCGAGTTCGGCCTCTTCTTCACTGATTTCGATCGATTCCTATTCTGGTTCCCTTTCTTCTGGCTTCTGCCTCTCTGCTCGAAACTTAGGGCTGAACCTGAACCTTCTGATTCGGACGATTTCCTTCTAACCTCCTCGGATAGAATCATGCTAACAACCTCATTCAGCTTCAACTTCTCTTTCCCCACCGAATTGCTGATTGCCGTCACACAACCTGCCCAACTATCCGGCAACTGCGATAGTAGTAGAAGGGCCTGCACTTCGTCATCGAACGTGATGTCCACGGAGATAAGTTGATCAACAATCGTGTTGAACTCGTTGAGATGCATCGTGAAGGACCATCATTCTGCCATCTTGAGGTTGACAAGAGTTTTGACTAGATGCACCTTGTTTGCTGCCGACGGTTGCTCGTACATCTTCGCGAGCGCTTCCATAAGCCCCACCGTCGTCTTCTCCTTCAGAATATTATAGGCTACTGATTTGCCGAGCGACAACCGGATTTGCCCTAGAGCCTTCCTATCCAGTACCTCCCAATCACCATCTGACTCCTCTTTCTTCTTTTCCTTTTCCTTGCCCATTAACGGGCGATACAAATCCTTCTGGTACAGATAGTCCTCCATCTGCGACTTCCAGTCGAAGTCTGAACCGTCAAACTTCTCGATCTTTGATTTGCTTTCCTCTGCCATGGCTTTCACACAAATTGCTGAACGAAGCTCTAATACCAGTTGTTAGGGATTCGAAACAATCAATCGAACCCTTGCCCTTCCGGACCTTGTGTTGAAAGTAGAAAAGTAGGAATAATACCACAAATAAAGATCTAACTTGCAAAAATAGTAAAAGAGACGAACACACATATTTAACGAGGTTCGGCAACGTGCCTACGTCCTCGGGAGCCACACCACACAATCTCTTTATTAATTGAAGAAGAAAATACAAGCTCTCAAATAAGAGATTAATCTCTCTGAGATTCTCTCTCTCTTTGCAGTCAAAAAGCTCTCTTTTTGATGTTATTCAAACCCTAAAACGTTTAGGGTATATATATAGAATCCTGATTGAAACAGATTCCTAAACAGAACAGGAAACTGCCAAAAATACGCGCGGTCGACCGACGCGGTCGACCGATTGCAAAACCCGAGAGCAGTTTTCCTACAGGGTTTTGGCGGTCGACCGCCCCGGTCGACCGCGACCTGATCCAAGCTCTCCCAGCTCCTGTGCACGTTCGCGGTCGACCGGATCGGTCGACCGTGGATCTTTCTGCTCGATTTTCTGTCTTTTTTATTCCAGTTCTTGTCTCGAACTTTGGGTCTACACCTTAGACTAACAAAAAAAAAAACCCTCCTCCTAATAGTTGATTTGGACATAAAGACTTCCAACTTGATGATATAATCTGATCATATTTTAAACAAACTATTCAACAAATTTGTACACAAAGCAGCTCAATGCATCACATCCCATGGCCATACATTTCAAACAAAAACTAAAATACTATCTTCTAGAAAACTCATATCAGTCAACCAAATGCACACATGCCCAATCCATGAAGTGATCGTGAAGATTCACCCACTTACCCTCCACTTTATAATTTTCCAAGTCTTCCAATTTCTTTTTCTTCTTTTGCCACCATTCATGCATTTTAGTCCCTTGACTATACATCTTAGTTTTTTCGATAATGACTGTGTGCATGCTGAGATGTATGCTTTGGCCTGCCTCATGAGAAATTTCTATCAAGCTGATAGAAATATTTCAATTAAGTCCTTGTTAATGAAATACGAGGGGTCTCTTATACCCATCACTATTCTCCAAAGAACTACACGGATGGAGACCAACAAAAGTCCAATTTGCTCCTCTAAATATTCTCTGACCAGGACAGTTTGGTTTCAAACCTGACGGCTCTTTTGCCACTTTCTCACTTCCATTATTTTCAACACGCGAAAGAAATCATTAATGTTTACCGCACTTTCAGAAAACATACAACAAAATCTTCTCTCTCTCTCTCTCTCTCTCTCTCTCTCTCTCTCTTAATAGATATATCAGCAATTACGGAGGCAATATCCCCAGTTAATTTCTTCAAGCTCATGACACCAATGAATTCTCTCTTGATCCTCCTCCCTCTCTTCTCTCTCTTCCTAGCATCACAATCCACAGACACGTTAGTCCCAGGCCAATCTCTAACTGATGGCAACACCCTCATCTCCTCGGGCCAAATCTTCGAACTGGGCTTCTTCAGCCCGCAGAGCTCCGCAAACCGTTACATCGGCATCTGGTACCACAACTTCTCCACTGACACTGTCCTCTGGGTCGCCAACCGCCAGGTTCCGGTCCTCGACAGGTCTGGCTCCCTGAAAATATCCACAAATGGAAACATGATCCTCGTCAACGGAGAGAACAAAACTCTCTGGTCATCGAACATTAGCACCTCTACAAGTTCCGACGAGATGACTGTCCAGTTATTAGACAGTGGAAATCTCCAGCTTACCGATTCGTCAGAAGTCATGTGGCAGAGTTTCGATCATCCAACTGATACGTACTTGCCGGGTATGAAGGATGGGCTAGATTTACAGACTAATGTGAACCAACTGTTTACATCGTGGAAGAGTCGAAGCGATCCTGGATTAGGAAACTACTCGATGGGCATTGATCCCGATCGGTCGACGCAGATATTTATATGGGAGGGGACGAAACCCAGGTGGCGGTCTGGGAGATGGAATGGGCAGGTTTTCATTGGGGTTCAGGGGATGGTGGCTATGTATATTTATGGGTTTAAGCTTAGTAATTTTGAGCAGGAGGGCAAGATGTATTTTTATTATTCGGCGTTTAATGCTTCGCATAGGTATGTTATGACCTGGGAGGGGATTTTGAAGCATATGATCTGGCAGAATGATACTCAGGTTTGTGAAATTTTAAGGCTGGTCCAAGAATTTTATTGTTGTTTTCGTAAAATAAATATCTGCAACAGACTGCGGCATCCCCCATAGAACTAGCAACTTCTGCTTCTCTTCATGCCCTGCAAAATTTATTTCCAAATCTTTAACATCCGCGGGTTGGATATTTTCACAGGAATGGTATCAGTACTGGGCAGAACCAGTACAAGAATGTGAATTCTACAACAAATGCGGTAATTATGGCAGCTGCACCGACAGCAACAGCCCCATATGCTCATGTTTACAGGGTTTCGTACCAAAATCAAAGAATGAGTGGAGCAATGGCAATTGGACGAGCGGATGCATCCGAAGGACGCCGTTACAATGCGAGAGAAATATTAGCGACGTCAATAAAGGAGAGCAAGATGGATTCTTGATGCTACAAGGAGTGAAACTACCAGATATTTCTGATTGGGATCAAAGTGTCGTCGAAATTGGTAAATGTCAGCAGACTTGTTTGGCTAATTGTTCGTGCAAGGCGTACTCGTTTGTAACGGGTATTGGATGCCTGAAATGGGGTGTCGATTTAGTGGATATTCATATGTTTTCAAGTGGAGGGGAGAATTTATATCTAAGGCTTGCCGGTTCAGAGCTAGGTACAAAATCTCGAAGCCCAAGTTTTTCAGATTATTGTTTTTCTCGTTACCTCATCCTACATCTTAAGAACTCTTTTTACCTTAATGCGATACGCAGACAAGAAGAAGAAAAATAATGCGGTGGTCATCATAGTGGTAGTTGTTCTGGTAGTGTTTCTTTCTCTTGGGTGCATATACCTTGCTTGCAAACACAGAAAGAGGGTTGGAGGTAAAAGCATTAGACCCGTTAGAATGAGTTTGGTACTTGAAACATTTCATTTGCATTAATGTATTATGTTTTTTCTTATATCAGCATTCATTAAATTGCGAAAGGGTCAGAGGACCACGGTTCGCAATCAAGCTAGAGATGGAGGATCAAATGAGTACTCTGATCGCGCATTTGAACTTAGAGAAGAGGGAGATGATAGAAAGAACCCTTTACTAAGTTTCGATTCAATTGTCGCCGCCACTGGAAACTTCTCTCTATCAAATTTACTTGGTGAAGGTGGATTTGGTCCAGTTTATAAGGTTAGTCTTCCTTTCACTGCCTAAATCAAGCTATTACTTAGATGAATTTAAGCTTCAATGTGATGAAAATGGATTTGATTCTTGACTTAGGGATGATCCATCAGCATCACCATAGCTCTTTTTCCAAAGGGCCAAAGTTTTAGATCCTTCATTTAATCTAATTCACTTTAGTCTATAGTCTTTGTAATGATGCAATTGTTATGGTACTTCGAAGGGGAAAGAAACTCTTCAGAATACATTATTGGTCTTAACATAGAAAAAGTTTTATTTAGCACTTTAGTTTTAGACTTTTAGTTTCTTGAAGTTCTGAATATTGGATTTCAAAGTAATAGATTGCGCTTTAGGAAAAAAAAAAACTATGCTTAAAACTGAAATTCGCCATACAGAGTTTTCAATACTAATTAATAGTCGGTCACATAGATTTTGTAGATTGCTGATTAAGGCATTGATTGTTCGTACATGACAAATCACTTGAAACATTATAAGTGACTTGGACAATGGTGATTTTTTTTTAAATTTATTTCTTTTATAGGGTACACTTGCTGATGGGCAAGACATTGCTGCGAAAAGACTGTCGAGGAGTTCAGGCCAAGGTTCTGAAGAATTCAAGAATGAAGTTATACTAATCTCCAAGCTTCAACACCGAAATCTCGTTAGGCTCTTGGGCTGCTGCATTCAAGGAGAAGAAAAGATTTTGATCTATGAGTACATGCTAAACAGAAGCTTAGATGCTTTTCTGTTCGGTAAATAATTTCACTATAGGCAAATCAGATATATCATACATTCAATTGGATCTGTCTGGCATAATAACTTAAAATTTTTTGACAGATGCGACGAAAAAAAGATTACTAGATTGGAAAACGCGATACAATATCATTGAAGGGATTGCTCGAGGGCTCCTCTACCTGCATAGGGACTCAAGGCTACGAGTTATCCACCGTGATCTCAAAGTTAGCAACATTTTGCTGGATGAAGAGATGAACCCCAAGATTTCAGATTTTGGCATGGCGAGGATTTTTGGACGCCATGACAATGAAACAAACACAAAGCGAGTTGTTGGAACATAGTAAGTTTAACTCTTTACTCCTAAGACTAAAGTTTTTTTTTTCAAAATTTTGACTAATATATTGATCATGAACTACTGCAGTGGTTATATGTCTCCAGAGTACGCAATGCATGGGCTATTCTCAGTAAAATCAGATGTATACAGCTTCGGAGTACTACTTCTAGAGATCATTAGCGGAAAGAGAAACAGCACATTTCATCATCCTGAATCCTATCTTAACCTTCTATCCTACGTAAGTATTATATAGATAACCTCCAATGTGTGTACATATGCAATGTATTATACTCTGTCAGTCAATTGATAAAAAGGGAAAGCATTTTTTATGATGCAGGCATGGAAGTCATGGAACGAAGACAACGCGATGGATTTTATCGATACATCAATACGAGACTCATGCTCATGGACTGAAGTATCACGATGCATGAATGTTGGTCTCTTGTGTGTACAAGACCGAGCAAACGATAGGCCAAATATGTCGGCGGTGGTTGTAATGTTGGAGAGTGGGACTATTGATCAGGCATTGCCGAGACAACCAACATTTGCTGCAGAAAAGAGTTCGAGTGACACTGAGTCGTCGACATTTGATATGAATTTATCAGCTAATGCTTCTATTACTAGGTTGGTAGGGAGATAACAGGTTATATTGAGCTGTAAAATTTTGCATCCTCTGTTTGTTTCTTGATTTTTACATGACTTTACATGATATATATCCAACTGATTTTACATGATTTTTAAGTTTGCATATTCCCCTTCTGCAAGAAATAACGATTCATGCATATATACACCCAAATCATACATGCTATAGGTTTAAGCCAAAATCTGATATTTGCAAATTTACCCATAGTTTTCGGAAATTGGATTTTTCTACCCCCGGCCGCTTCTCCAACATTAGAGTTTTCCACCCCAGTTCTCCAACCATCCATACTTGCAAGTCAACTGGATACTAGAATGAATTAGGCCTAGAAAAATCTAATGTTGAGGAGGTTTCGAGGGTAAATTTGGAAATATCAAAATGAAAATTTGCAAATGCGAATGATTTGGAGGGTATGTATGCCAAAAATCCCATAGAAAAGTATATATTAAGAGACTGGAAACAAAATGAGTTTCATGACATTTTCCATCCTTGCTCACCAATTTCCAACCACTCCTATTCCTTGGAAACAAACTTCATAGTTTGTTTCGCAAGGAATTCTGACATAGTTTATTAATGCAATTGAAGCTAAAGGAAGCTTCGCTCTAATGTAACTCATTTGGTAAGGAGATGTAGATCCAAGAACACTGGCGGATAATGAGATGAGAACAAAGAGTAGACATTATTAATGAGACAACAACATTGTGTTACCTTAAACAAATAATCTTTTATAAATCAGACTAATTAAGTCTTAAATATTAGCATCTAACAATTAATAAAGATTGGTTAGGATTCTTGCTACCCTTGCGAAGGAACAAGAATGGATACTGATCCAAATCCACTGCATTAATGGAGCAGCAAAGTGTGGATAACCTTAGGATCAGTGTACTAATCCTCAACGTCTCTTGTACATTACTAATAGTATCATGATAAGTAGTTCTTTGATACACTATTATGGCAATCAACAAATACATTTTCTTACCAAGATAGTGCACATTCTAGCTTGTTTATGTATTTCAGCTACTAAGGTTATGTTGAGAAAGTATCTAGTGATTCTAATCTATTGTATTAATGTTGTATCAAAAAGATATCAACCGTTCATCAAATAATCTAATTCTAGTTAGCACTTCTCTTTAGCATTCAAAAACCCAACAACAACAACGGACCCATTAACATTCAAAATCGAATATCCAAAAAAAAGGGTTAATTGTGAATAGACGATCCTCTTGTAGTATTATCCAAATGTAAAGAGACCTCGTATATCTCTATTTATTGTGAATAGACCGTATGCAGTTCTACTTGTGAATGGACCTCCTGAGTAAATCTTTTTATCCTTAAAATTGTTAACAATGTTTGGGAGGCGGATAGACCCCCTACAGTTCTATCGGTGAGGATAGACACCTAACTACTATTTTTTTTTATCTTTTAAAAGCGTTGAATAAGTTCACTAAGGGGTGTATTCATACTTGGTTAATACTAAGAACAAATTTTGAAAACCAACACATTTCCAAACTTATTCATCACGAACGACCTATTTGAAACTTATTTGCCAAAAGCGACCCAGTTTCAACCAATTGGCAGAAACTTGGCTGAAACTGGGTCGTCTTTTGTGAAAAAAAATATCAAACTTCACAGGGTAAAAAAACTTCACGGGACTTGAAGTCCCGTGAAGTTTGGTATTTTTTTCCGCAAAAAACGACTCAGTTTCAGCCAACTGGCTGAAACCGGGTTGCTTTCGGCAAATAAGTTTCAAAGAGATCGTTTTTTACAATTATTTTTGGAAATGAGTTAGCTCTTCAAATTTTATCCTAATACTAATGGGCTGTTTGGTTGTATGTTTTTACCATGTAAAAGGATGGAAAGTGTAAAAAAGTTGGTCCCAATGTCAGCTTTCATCACTTTCAATTGTTTGATTGTAGTTGTGAAAATAGTGTAAAGTGATTTCATATGCTGATGTGGCTTGTAAAGTGGTTTCATAAAAAAAAGTCATGATTTTAGGAGAAAGCTGACATTGAAGTCAGAAAAAAATAATAAAAAACAATTCCAACCAATATGATCATTTGAGTAGTGACCACTTTTTACACTTTCCAAACAAACAATTAAAGTTACATGTGCAAACCAAACAAAGCAATTTATGATTCCAATGGAATCAAAAACAAACAAAGAAAAGTATAAAAGTGAAATTGATAAGGTGGACAACAACTTTTCAAGTTGTGTCATAAATACACAAATTTACCAACAACAACCAAACAGCCCCTAACTATAGAGAATTTATTCGCATTAAATACAATTACAAAGTGTCTCTTTGTAATTGGGTGATTGTACAGGTAAGTCTGTTCACAAAAAAAAAAAAAAAAAAAAAAAAAAAAAAAATTAGGAAGGTAGGGCTCCATCCCCAACAAAGCCAGTCCTTTGTTCAGTAATCCCCTTCAGCTCTTTATCGCTGCCAGCCGAGTTCCTCTTGATCATATGCCCGGACTCGGATCCATCACGCACTCAAGACCCGATTAAGAACAAAGCATCATTCATTTTGTACGGTTAGTTTTCGGATCATCCAAGAAGAGTCGTTGATTCTTGAGTCCAAAAAAAATGACACCTAATAATGAACAATAAAATAGCATCCCGGGTTCTTTCCTCCATAGAAATCAAAATCCCTCTCTTTTTTATTTTAATAATGCTCTCCGGTATTGTATAAACGTTCTCGTAACGGGAGGCATAGGAAGCGAGAAAATATATATAAGAGCTAAATATCGTTAATAATGTGGAAACATGTCACGTGTCAAACAGAGGGGAAAAGAAAACATGAAACTACTCTTGAATTTCTATCATGGGCAACTCCAACCGTTACTCCATTTTGGAGTCCCCACTGAAGCATATTCTAAGGAACATGCCAAAATAGAGCTTTGCAACTCCAAGCATACTTCTCCATTTCCAACTCCATTTCAGTTTCTCTCAATTTAACAATTCATTTACTTATTTTAAAAATATATAAAAATTATAAAGTAATAGTTAAATAGGACAAAAGTGGAATATCTAAAAGTAGTTAGTTAGTTTGAAGGGTAAAATAGGAGTTTGCTATAATCAAGAAGCTTGTCGAAAAGATGTGGAGCGAGCGTTTGGTGGTCTCCGGTCAAGATTTGCTATAATCAAGGGCCCTGGACGTTTTTGGGATAAACGAACTTTGCATGATATCATGACCGCTTGCATAATAATGCACAACATGGTTATTGAGGATGAACGTGATGAGCAAGAAGATGTTGTCGTTTCTACTCCACCATCAATTTCAAATGTTGAAGACATAGGCATGAACGATGCCGAACGGTTCCAACAATTCCTGGCCCGGCATAAGAAATTCAAAGACAAAGAAGCACACTTCGCACTTCGAAATGCATCAATTGAACATTCGTGGGAGAGACACGGCAATGAAGTGATGTAACTCTTTTATGTAATACCAATAATGCCTTCGATATGCAAATCGCTTTTTAACGAGGGAATTTACCCTAGAGATTATGATTATTTAATTGTGAGATAAGTAAAATTATTAGGATTAGTCCCCCCAGAAACGAGTTAAGATCCTCATTCTATGCGCATAGAAACTAAAAACAAACACCAATTAATTAGAACAACAATCTCCACACGCCAGGTGTTCGATCGTCTCATTTTAAGAAGAAGAAGAAGAAGAAGAAAATTCACAAAATTACAAAAGCTACGACAAGAACCCATCCTCCGCGACCTGATGCAGAGCCTCGTCCATCAACTCCGGGCTCAACCTCACCATCAGAACGCAGAACTCCATCTCGTTGAGGCCTCCGTCCCCATCCATATCCCCCTCCCTCACCATCCCCCTCAGCTCCTCGTCGCTCAGCCCGCCCAGGCCCAGCAGGGCCGAGTTCCTCTTCAAGCTCTCGAACGTGATCAGGCCCGAGCCCGGGTCCATCAGCAGCCGGAACCCGTTACAGAGCTCCGCCATCAGGCCCTCTTCCCCGAGCTTTTCGGCCATCGTCGGGAGATAGTCTTCGAATTCGACGGGTCTGTTGGTAGCCATATCAATCGAAAGGAAATTAAGTTAATTTGGTGGGTATTCTGGGAAGAGGAAGGAGCTAGCTTTGGGTTATTTTGGGAAGAAAGGGAGGGGGGAACGGGAATATATAAATAGGGAGGAGAAGATGTGTAGGTAGTCGAGATGACAGCTCGAGATGAGTTAAGGATATTCGGTTGATGGGGAGGAAGGAGGTGAGGAAAGAGGAAAGTCCCTTTCGAAGAAATTGCGACAGGGTACGCATGGAAACGTTACGGGGGCGTTTTGGGAATGATTTGTGAGGATGACGAAAATGCCCCTCGTCTCTAGGAACGCTTTCTTTCTCTAGCTTAAGGGCTTGTTTGGATTGAGGGGATTGAGGGTGAAGGGAAGTTAGGGGAACCATTCACCTCCATTCATTTTGTTTGGGAACACTTAGGAGGTGAAGTTAATTCACCTCCATTCACCTTGGTTCACCCCCTAATAGTATAAAAATTGTTACCCTTTCCCTTAACTTCCCTTCACCCCCTACGAATCCAAACAGGCCCTTAGGAGGTGAAGTTAATTCACCCTAGTTCTCATTGATTCACCCCCTAATAGTATAAAAACTGTTACCCCCCAAATTGGGGTGTAACCAAGGGGAAGGGAACTCCCTTCCCTTCCCTTCCCTTCCCTTCCCTTCACTCAGTTTCCCTTAACTTCCCTTCACCCCCCTACAAATCCAAACAGACCCTAATGTAACTTGTAAATTCTATTTTATCCGCTAACATTTATACGCTTCTTCTTTATGTTCGTTTCCTCGTAAAATGCGCCAAGGTTCTTATTGTTAGAAAAAATGCAATTTAGGGTTCAATAGATTATGCGGAATTCTTCAGCTTTCAATTAGCTATTTTTCAAATAAAAAATTGTATCCGTGCGATTATAACTCGAAGATACTAAAATTAAGGGAAGATGAGAAGAACTAGAGTTGAAGCTACACCGACCATTAAGGTTAAGATCGTCATTTAAAGGTGTACAACTAATCAGAAACATGAGATACGAAGAAGTTTCTAGTAAATGAGCAAAGGACGGAGAGGGAAAAGGTGGCTATTTTGGGAAGACCGCGTGTAGCTGTGATGCAGTTGCCGGCCTCGGTTCACGCACTGCGTCATTGGATTCAGTTGACCGGCTATTTCCCAAAATACCCCCGCCTCGCCTTCTGAATATTCATACCGTATTTCGTTCTGTCTAAAATTTCAATAAATCATTTATATATTGTGCTCAATTGACAATCAAGCATGCATTCAAGAACAACAAAGAACTAATGTGTACTATTAAGGCTAAATACTCATATTGGTATTTTAATTCAACCACATTTGTCAAGAAGGTATTTTAAATAAAAAAATCGACGTTAAGGCATTTTAATTGATTAAAATTACCAATTAGGTCCTTTTTCTCGTCGGCGACCACTTTTCCGGCGAGAACTCGTCACGTGCGTGACACGTGATGACTTAATCTGTGTTTTAGTTGATGATGTGGCTCGGTTTGCTGATGTGGCTCGGTTTTAGCTGCTGATGTGGCTTAATCACAATTTAAGTCCAAAACGAACCAACCTGAACCCTAAAAATTTCAAAACAAAGATCAAACTTCCACGCATTCACTCCAGATCTCAGATCCAACTCAATTATCTTACCTTTACCGCTAACAGAAGCAGTCAAAACCCCCGATTCCAGGAACTTCTAGAAGAAAACGCCATGGGAATTCGGAGAGAAGAGAGTGAGAAGACGAATATCACTGCAGACTAGATTGTCGCCGGCGCGGCCATGGATCGATGCAAGAGAAAGAGGTTCTATTTATACGGTAATTTCTCCACTAAATTTTCGCTAATTTTTTTACCAATTTTAGAAATGGGGGATTTTAAAATGCATCGACTCTTATTCTTCCTGCCACTACCACGTCAGAAAACCGGTTGAATTAAAATGCACATGACGAGTTCTCGCCGGAAAAGTGGTCGCCGACGAGAAAAATGACCTAATTGGTAATTTTAATCAATTAAAATGCCTTAACGCCGATTTTTTTATTTAAAATACCTTCTTGACAAATGGGGTAGAATTAAAATACCAATATGGGTATTTAGCCGTACTATTAAAATTGTACTTACAGGACTATTAAATAGAATTTTTTTCTGAGTATCCGAGAGAATCGTATTAGATACGTATCGGGATCGGTATAGTATAAATGTTGTATAATATGAGAGGGATAGAATTTTCTTTTAATAGGCGTGTTGTTTGTACTTGGACCGAGCCCAGTTACTCTTTTTAAGGAGGGGAAATGCTAAGAAGAAAAATTCCTCAAGAACCCAAAATATGGGACCAACATGAGGGACATGTGAGGTGTCCCCCTCCTATTGCATAATGCGCTGGTCATCATTATTTCACAATGAGCTGGTCATCATTAACGATGGTCAGCGCATTATGCAATAGGAGGGGGACACCTCATCTGTCCCTCCTGTTTGTCCCATATTTTGGGTCCCTGTAGCAAAGCTCTGCTGAGAAAGTCACAAAATGTTGTTTGACCTCTGAAGAGGACTAATTGGCTCCCCAAAATATGATAAGATTGGGTCAGGGTTTGATCGCAACAGCTATGGGGTTGATTAGCTCGGCGTTAAGAGTCTGCTCTCGATTTCAAACCGTTTTCAAGGATTTGGTCTTGTTTGAAGAGGTCAGCTCTTCAACCATCAAATCTATTAAAATGGGATTTGGTGGAAACTAAGGTTTTTCTTCTTTGATCGAATGACTTTTAGTAACATATTAAGTCTAAAACTTTGAAAGATGGTGTAAAAGGATGCCTCGTTGCATTCTTTCGAATAAGAGAAATAAAATCATAATTTAGGAAACATAACTTTTTATATTTTCCTAATTAAATTTGTTTAGAAATTTACCCTAGATAGCTACATATATCTGCCCCAAAAATAAGGGAACAGAGAGAGAGAGAGAGCAAGGGGACGTGGCGACAAAAGCCTAATTTGTCAGGGATGGGGCGATGCAGCTCTCAAATCTCTTTCCATGAAATTGTGGGGATAATTAAAAATATTATAAAAGAAGATAGAGATAATTTCTCTGCGTCACTTATTCCTTCCGTTATTCTCTTGGATTCCATTTCCATCCTTTTTTCGGACATTTTTTTAAAACAGACGCGTCCCATGCTCTCTTTTTTTTTTATTAAAAAAAAAATACTCTGTTGCTTTGCTTTTGGACTTTGTCTCTTTGACGTGAAGAAAGCAACCGCATGAAAAAGCTTGCTTTTTATTCCATTGCAAAATGTGTTGCACAGCGAAATACTCTCAGTAATTTTTATTATTAAAGAAAAAAAAAGAGACTCTACCAGTAACCAAATGATTTACATTAACCAAAATGCTCACACTATTCCATTGCAAAATGTCCTACATAACATTGAGCCAGTAACCAAATGATTTACATTATAAGCGTCGACGACGTCGACAAAGTTTAACATAAACATACTAGATATACACGGCTCATGAAATTTTTCCCTACCAGCGCTTCCCCGTATGAGAACACCAACAGTTTCAGTATCTGCTCGAACACTTCAAGAACCAGTGACGCTGGCAGGAAACATTTCTCATGATATAATCTTTTCCTACTATTTCTAATGTAGCAGGCTCATGATATTATCATCACTAGAGAGTTTCACATAAACACACGCATGAGTAAACAAAAGAAAAATAAAGAAGAGAAGGTGTTCAAACAAGGAGCAGAGCAGTTGAAGAAGCCCAATGGCACACCAAGAAACTTAGTGTCTCTTGCTATACAAACCTCTACTCATACATTGTGGATGATATAAAGTTTTAAGAGGAAATTGAACATGCAACAGGATAAGCACCAACTACATGATCCAATCATACGAATTAAATGCCCCTAATATAAAGTTTCCTAAAATTGGAAAGTCATCATGCAATTTGTGCAGACAATTATGGGAGAAAAAGAAGAAAGCAACATGAGTCCATGGGTTCTCCCCGAGCGATCGAGCATATATCAACTTTCTACTAAAAATTTACTTCTGAAGTCACAAAGACATACGTACGTACATACATATACATGTACATAACAGAATACTACCTCCAATCTGTCTAGCTAGCCATCATACATTTTCTATGTGAAAACAGACTTCGACCTTAAAGTATTGTGATTTATTTGAAGAACAAGAACGTGCACCGAAAAGCTAAAGGAAATGTAAAATCAGTTATCCTCATTTTTGTCACAGAATCTCATATTGATGATTCAGGTACAGGTAATAATAAAAACCATGAACAAAACTAATGTAACACTAATTCATATACCCTAAAGTGTCCAGACTACTTTAAGCATATACGATATGCCTTGGTCAGCTAACTTTATAATTTAAAGGCAGTATACTACTTACTACCTTCATAATTCAATATCATAAAACATATTGCTGTGTATGTACCACGAGGATCCTCTATGACTTCAAAATTACTATTCTTCAAAAAAATATACAGAACTTGCTTGGAGAAAAATAACGGCAAAGAGCACTATTAAGAAAATATTCCAAAAAATGTGCAATAAAAGTGGACATTGCTTAAAGTAGAAAAGAACAATTTTGGGCCTGACAGTAATAATCATTTGTCAAATTGCAATTTCACTAGCCTATGAAACATACTAAAACTAGGATTGTAAAACACAAATAAGGCAATACCAGATATGAGAACATAGTCTTGAATCCACACACAAGCATATAACGCAGCAGATTGTCAGATACATTCATTCCCTACCGTACCAATTCAAACGCAAAACCAACCATTTATCGTGTACCTCGTCTGATATTAACGCCAATGGCACAATGAAATGAATGAATCAATCCAAAAAGTAAATATCGGAATGAAAAGAATGTATACTTCACATGTATACTTCACAATCTAAAGACCTCATTCTTGCTTGAACTTGTTTCCTGATCGATACGTGCATAATCTCTCTCCTCTAGTTGAGGAGCAAGGACGACAATATCACTACATCATTTTGCGCTATGTTCATCAAGTTTCTTTCTGAATTGGCACTTGATAAATATTAAGAACCATTCATTACGTAGTAAAATATAAGAATCAGTCGAAGCTAGTGATAAAAATCTCACATTAGAAAAGAAATGTTCTTCTATTCTTCCAACCTCTAACAAAATTCAGGGAAATGTCCAAAACCAAATTAGTTGTCCTCTATGAACCACAATCAACCAAACAAATCACTTGGCATATACACTAATAAATAATCTGAACATTAAGGTCAAAGAAAATTAGATATGTTAGAATCAATATAAACTATAGTTCTCGATCCTCACCATATCTTTGGAATTCTGATGTAGTGGTCAGAGGGACTTAATTTAATATGATATCTGAGCAACCCATGTTCAAATTCCATCGGTCACAACTTTAAAGCGGATTTTCTAGAAATTGACACCATAAAAGGGCGCTCAACCTACGGGGGCATGTTAGAATCAATATAAACTGTAGTCCTCAATCCTCACCGTAACTTCGAAGGTTTGGTGTAGTGGTTAGAGGGACTTAATTTAAGAAGAAAAAACAATTTCAAACTATCAAAATCATTCCGTTAAGAATATCCGTAGTAGTGAGAAGGGGGAAAAAGAAGCCTAAATTATGTACGTGCACATGCATGTACACATACATGCATAGGCATGCGTATGCACGTACCTAATATGTATGTATGTATATGCATATTAAATCTATACTTATAGATAGATGTGTTTGTGTTTTCACCATATATTAATTAAACCAAAATTTTTCCATCTGTAACATCTAAAACAATCAAAGTTTTATCGGAAAACTAACTTCTAGTACTACACTGCATTTTCATGAAAGATCAAGAGAAATAATTTACCAACTATTGACAAATATGACCTGTACATAAAAAAATAAGTAACTATAATAAGTATCTGACTCAATATACAAAAATTATACCTCTTTCAGCCCTATTCATCAAGTCCACAACCTACAGCACTACCATCCAAGGGGCCCATCTCCTGCCCATATATACAATTATGAGTAAGCTGAAATTAGTTAGACGTATGGTCTGCAGATGCAGAATGAAACTTTATATTCAAACACAGGTATGGTGTTTCAAACACAGGAGTTCACCACCAGACACAATAACATGCTTATCTATGTGCCTATTCCAAGCATGCTTACTCTTTACCACGCAAAAACTATATAAAGTGATTTTCTTTTTATAAACAGAAGAACCATAAGTTACAAACATGAAATTAATAATCTATATTGAAAGATAAAAAGCAGCATATAAGATTTCACCTTGTACATGTTCCATAGATGAATAAAGATGGGCATGTCCATAAAAGTCAATTGGTGACACTGAAAGCCAGTGTAAATGAAACAATATAAGTAGCCAAAACCATCCTATATATCATAGATTTAACTCATCTATACAAAATATGAACAGATGCTTTTAATTAAACAAACCACTACAATATAACAAGTGAGCATTAACATGATGCACAAAAAGAGGTACCTCACCTAATCAAAATACAATTATAGCATCATAACTAATCTCAACCTATCCAAATCGTCCCAATCAAAATTTACAAAAATTATTAAAAAAAACTAAGAACCCGAATCATATCTTTGCGCTGAATATTAAATTGCAACAACGTACATGTAACTTATAAAAACAAAATAAAATTCCCTTGTTGAACAAACTTCTAATACGACAGAGCATTTTCATTAAAGATAAGAGAAACAATTTACCAACCATAAGCATGATACTGCCCATCTATTAAATGAATAACTAAATGCGATCTAAAACTGATCAGTCTGATCTAATATACCACCTCTTTAAGTCTTATTCTTCAAGTCCCCAACCTACAGCATAAACAAGTTTTCAAGGGGCCCATCTCCTGCCTCTATTTATAACTATGAGCAAGCGGAAATTAGTTAGAATTGTGATCTGTAAATGAAAGCTATGGACAGTGTTTCAAACACACAACATAGGCGTGAATATCTCAAACACAGCAGTTCACCACCAGACACGAGAACATGGCCACCCATACGCTTGTTTCAAGCATGCTACTCTTTACCACACATAACTGGCAATTAATATTGTAGATTTTAGCCAAAAGAGGCATATCAATTTTCACCTTGTACATAACATAAACGAAAAGATGGGTGTTCATAAATGTCAAAAGCATAGGTGAGATCGACGGGCACCAACGCAACTGAAACAATTTAAATAGCTAAAAGAATCCTGTATATCATATCATTAAACTCATATTTACCAAATTTGAAGTGTCACATTTAATTAGCCCACAAACTAAAAGTACTATAAATCACCGAAGCATTAATATGAAGCAAAAAAAAAAGAAGGTACCACATTGAATCAAGCATCGGCATCGATCTCAACCTATCCATATCATTCCACCCCAAAGTTACCATAATTGTTAAATTTAAGGAAAAAATAGAAGCCTAGATCATATGTCGCCACTGAATATTCATTGAAAGTAATGAACATGCACTTATAGAACAAACTAAACTCCGTCGTTGAACCTTCTGCTGCTACGCTGCATATTAATGAAACATATAAAACAAACTAAACTCTCTCACTGAACCATCACCAACGACTATAGTATATTTCCATGAAAAGAGCAATAGAAACAGTTTATCAACCATCAACATAAGCTTAGCTATTTACAATCATTCTAGGAGGAAGAATGACCCAGTTACCAACTTCTATATAACAGAATTGCATTTTTCAGGAACCACTACCAACATCTAAAGTCCACAAGTTCCAATCTTTCTATATGAACAGGCTCAGTTATTCAACTTTTACATACCTACACAAAAAAGATGCCACCCTCTTTACAAAATTCATCAAAACCAAACGAAAAAGGAAGACCTGTTACCTCTTTCGACAAAATGAGCTATACCCACTTCACAATTCCTCTCTTTAGCTTCTCCAACAACGCCGCCGAATTCTTCCCAATCTTCCCTCCTTCTTCATTGCTCAGCCTCTCCAAAACCCCGAGAAGCCCTTCATTCATCGCCTCAAGACCCAATCTTTCATCCTCCGAACAGACCAAATTCAGCACGGATATCGCACTCTCAACTCCTCTAGCGCTCCCCCGCTCCAAAACCCCGACCAAAACCCTAACAAACCCTTGAATTCTCCCCATGTCAGCTCTCCCCTCCTTGATCTTCCCCAGCTGAGCTAAAACCTCGACAGCCCGATCCAATCCCGAACCCGCCAACTCGACCAAACTCCTCACCGACCCGGCAACCCGAATCAACCTCCTCCGGTTCTCGGGGAACTTACAGAGCTCGTATAACGCCGTCGCCGCCTCCTTCTTCTCCCGCTTACCAGAACCTTCCAGAACGGCGCCCTCAGCGACGAGGCCCACCTTGACGTCGTCTCCGTCGAGGGAGAGGTAGAGGAGCGAGTAAATCGCGAGCTTCTGGAGCTCGGGGAGCTGGGGATCAGCCACGTGGCGAATTAGGGCTTTGGGGATGGAGGAGTCGGCGACCTTTTGGCGGAATTCGGCGGATTTCTGGACGGAGCGGAGGAGGGAGGAGAGGGCGACGGAGTCGGAGGGGTACTTCAGGGAGTTCAGGAATTTGTTGGGACACGGAGGGGATTTCTGGGGCTGCTTAGGGGCAGGATTGGAATTTGAAATGAGGCGGCGGAGGGCGTGGTTGGGTATTAGAGGAGGGGGAGGTGACGGTAAGGGG